AAATCAATCAATCGAGCCAAAATAAAATCAAATTATTATCATTATTATAACACAATGTGTTGTGTGTTTTTTCTGTTAAACTGCTACCTCAACACATTTCATTAACGTGAAATTCAATTTTAAGTATGTCAAGTGTAGTCAGTGTATCTTTTGTAATAATTGATCATTTTCCTCTTCTTTTTTTATCCATTATCATTTTCTTTATGTTTTCCTTCGAGTCAGAGTTAGAGTCTCAACAGTAGAACAAAACCTGTGTGTAAGTAAAACCATTCAACCTACCTGACATTAAAAAAATAAACATACAAAATTTTGGATACGTAAATTTGAATGATTTAGATGTAATTGAAATTTGTTTCAAAAGTTTAAACATATTTTCAGGGTAATAAGGATCAAATAGAAACACGAAATTTAGGAAATTCAAAAACAAAGGCATTGATGGATGGACAAATGAATCAATGAATAAATTGATGAATGACTGATGAATAAATTATCGATGGATGAATCGGATGACTGATGAATACATTAATGGATAAATTGATGAATAAATGAACGAATGAAGGACGAATAATTATTGATGGATGAATTGATGAATGAATGAATAAATAAATGAACGAATAACTGTCGAATAAATTGATGGATGAATTGATGAACGAATTGATGCCTGATGAATAAATTGATGGCTTGATGAATAAATGAAGTTATGACTGACAATCAATAAGTTAATGGGTGAATTGATGAATAAAAGAATGAATGTTGGACAAGTGTATTAATTTCATTCATAGATGGATGCTTAATAATAATCTTAAGCTAAACGATAGTAAGAGTGCATTTTCGGTTATTGGAACTTCACAACAGATTTCGAAATAAGAGTTGGATCCTCCAATGTGAAACCCTCTGTTACAGCCAGGAATTTAGGAGTATACTTTGATACTAATTTGAACATGGACACACATGTTAGAAATATATGCAAATCAACATACTATTTTCTATACAATCTCAGATGTTTCCGCAAATATTTTGATCAAGAAAGTATGAAATTGGTTGTACATGCTCCCATCACAAGTAAGCTTGATTATTGTAATGGGTTGCTGTTTGGAATGCCTGATTCTCTGATAGGTATGTAGCATGGTGGAATACACTGGGATTAAAGATGAGTGTGAACATGCTGAGTAGTGCTTGAACTTGAAAGTAGCCGAGTTAAAAAGATTTTGAGTCCTAGGGGATATTTGATTGATAAATAAATGGCTTTGGGATAGACTATGTAGCTATATGTAGGTGAAGGGACAAGGGAAAAAGAGTAGAGCAATAGGTCGAGCAATAGGTCGGGTGGGGTTAAGAACGATAAAAATACTTTGGACAACAGATTTGTTTTTGATAGAATTTAGTTAGGTGTTTGTGAAAATGGTGAATGATAACAGTGTCGTTGTATCCGTAGTTAATTGACACTCTAGAGCCTGAGCTGTCACTGGTATCTCGAGAATATCCCAACGAGTGAATCCAGCATACCCACGCTAAAAAGTATAAGGACTTCCCCTTCATTTGACCAATCAGGAATAAAAACAGGTAAAAAGTTTGTGAGAGTTTTGGAATAGAGAGTTTGGACCAATGGAAGAAGTTTTAGCCCTGTCCATTAAGAAATCGACAGTGGTGGGAGATCAGGTGACCAAAAAGTATTATGGGATGGAAAAGCAAAGGAAATTAATAAGGAATTTGTTGGACTCGAGGTGCGAGCTAGATGGCTGAACAGTGTGTTAATTAAGTATAAAAAGACCCAAACCTCCCTTCCCTAAAAGACTTGCATCCCTGGACCCCAAGCAGTTGCCACCCCTCTCCTTCCACCCTAAGTTTAATCCAGCCACCACAGACATCTGGAGATCCCCGACTTGCAACCAATTTAAGGCTTCGTCCACGGAATATTTTGAAAGTTGTTGAATTTCACATCTGCTGGTCACTGTGTGCTGACAAGTCAATAATAGAAAGGGACTGAAACAACCAATATATATATTACTGCACTTCGCTCTTCGCCAGTAGAGAGAACACTTTCAACCCAGAGTAATAGAAAGAGACAAAGGAGACCGCTGATTATTTTGTGCTCTTTGTGGAGAAAGTCAACAAATTGGACGTCACCGGGAAGACCCTCCGACGCCCCCAGGACATCGACGGCTGCTAGTACGCCCCGACACGAGTGCGACGAGTCGAGAGAGAGGACACAAGAAAGAGCTAAGTGATCAACCCGTTCCCCAATTAAAAAGGCCTATAAACTCTAAAGACAATTAGTTATCGATCGATCAAAGACTCTAAAAGCCCAAGTAATTTGAATAATCCTTTCCTTTTCCCCTTTCCCCTCCCACTAATAAATATATTTTAAGTGAGTGATTGTTGATGTGAATGCGTGGGTAAACGAGCTCAAGTAGTTAAGTAATTAGGTAAGGGATAAACACTTAAGAAACACGACACCAGAAATTGTAACCTTTTATAAAATAAACGACCAAATGAAATTGTAAATGGAAACTGTTTAATTGTGTATTAATTTATGTGGTGGTTTCGTGGGTTAACTAACACCCCCACCTCGGCCGCGGTGAGATGATGCTCTCCGACTGGAGTTAACGGACCTAAACAAAAACAATCTCCCGAAAACATAGAACCGCCGCTGCCGAGGGGTCGGGGGCGTTAGAGGTAGGTTACAAAGAATCCAAAATACATGTGCAAGACTTGTATATCGTCGGTCAAAATTCACTTCAACCGACAACCGCACCTCTTTTGAGAGGGCTGTACTGGTTGCCAGTCCGCCAACGAATTTCATTCAAAATGTTGTTAATTATGTATGAATCATTGAGTTGTCCTATAGTGACATAACAGAATTCCTTCAACTTAAGTCCAGTCACACAGCCGTAACCTGCGCAGTTCCAGAGATAAATTATTGTTCCAGATTCCCCATGGCAAAACTAAAGTAACTCTCGGGGACCGTGCGTTTGTCATTACTGCCCCTAAATAATTAAATGGGATAGCTTGCCAACAGAAATACGAAGCTCTTCATCTCTCGATGTCTTCAAATCCAAATTCAAAACACATTTGTTCAATTTATTGAGATATTCTATTTTGTAGAATTCAGTATTACAAAAAGGAGCTCTGAACCAGCGCAGCTGATTATATTTTGTATAAAAGCTGCGCTATAATTTCATTATAATTATTATTAACAAATTGATGGATAAATGAATAAATAAATGAACGAATGACTGACAAATAAATTAATGGATGAATGGATGATTGAATGAATGTCTAAATCATGAAATTAATTCAGGGGCTCCCATCAAAGATGGCGGCCATAAAAGTAAAGACTAAGATCCGAAAGTTTGACAAAATTTGAAAAGTGAAGAAAAACAAAGCAATTGACCAACCAAATAAAAAATAGATAAAAACAAATAAGAAAACAAACAAAAGAAAGGAAAAAGTATCACAGCGTTATAATAGCACCCACATTATTTGGTATGTTTTGCTTAATCGTCTTTAAAATTTGAATAAATCAAATCAAATCAAATCAAATCAAAGCTATACGCGTACAGCTTTCTTTTGCAGCAGGAGAATATTGTTAGTCACATACTTGGATGTTGCCCCAAAAATATTACAATAGGATATATGTGGTAAAATTAGACTATTATATAGCATAAGTAATATTCTATCAGAAACAAGACATTTAATTCTACAGGCCTATACGCCAATATTTCTGGAGATTGGTGTAACAATGTGTCTACATGGTCGCTCCAGTCAAGTGGCATTGGTAAGAAACTTTGTATTTTCTTTCTCTCTATAGAAATATCATCTAGTTTAATATTTAGTGCAAGGATGTCATTAGATTTTCTACCTCTATAATATATCAATAGAATCATATCTAACATATTATGTAATAGGCAAGGCCCGCTGGAAGAGCAGTTTCATAACTGAGGTGGCTACCCTGGTTAAATAAAACGTTATTATGATTAGTATTATTATCATTAATTCTATGAATTCATTTTGTCTGGGAGGACAAGCACTTTCAATATCCCCATAGGACAAGAATAGACTGGGGCTGTAGTCTCATTTCAAGAAATGAAAATAATTTCGGTACAGTTCAGAATAATGCTGGGAAAAGGAAATTCAAATGATACCGTTTTAAAAACCAGGAAGATATGGAGATAATTCATTGCTTGAAAGAGAGCATCCAATATACCTGATATCTAATAGTACACTGTCAATCAATATACTATAGCTTTCAATAGACTTGAATGTGAAAGGCCCTTTTTGTATCACCTCGTGCAAGATTAGGGCGCTTTAATTAGAAGTAAAACCGTGTCCATCATTGTTTTTACGTTGCAAAGTTAAAGAGAATGAATAAAACGAGGAAATTAAAATTGAAAACTAATTGTAAACCATAACCTGTCAATAAGAGGCTCTTGAATCAATTTTGAAAAATGGACATGGCTTTGTGGCTAAAGCTACCGGCCGCAGGCCACGCTGACTGGCGCAGCTACATGTATAACCCCTTAAATCATTATATAATATAATATATATATATTACATATGATCAAATTATTTCGGATTATCTTCATAATAGTACATGCAAAAGAAGAAACCAACTAAGTTCGATACCCCTCCCCGTTTCATAAATTTTAGATAGGATACGCAAAGTAGGCCTACCGCAGAATTTTGTATCACTGAAGTACATAAAGCCTATTTTAAAATTAGAGCATAATAATATATACCAACCCCTATTATAATATATCTTACTTCGAATGCCTAATTTCTGTGGGCGATATATACATGGATGTAAATATGAAAATGGCGTATTGTGTCAATTTTATAGAGGTGCATGACTAAGGAAATTGCTAAGTTATATACATGTCATGATTTAAGTTGACTGCAAAAACAGGGAGGCGGGTTCGAGCCTTGTGACTTGAGTAAACATTATACAAACTACCGCCCCTGGGGAAAGGGGTCACGTGATTCAAATGTAATCACGTGATTTCATCACATGCAGGCCTACCGTACCTAAACAAGGAGGAAGTGCCCGTGTTCAATTTTAGAGTTAAGACAATTGTGATTTTTGGATGTCATTTTTAGATAAAATGTCGCCCCGTCATATGGTACTGGTGTGTTTCATCCTGGTGGCAAGTAAGTACCTATCATGATTTCATTTCAAGTTGTACAATTGACTCTCAGAGCTGAGCTGAGGCTGAATCGAGATCGATCATGAGCTGAGCCTCGACTGCGCCTACGCCTCGGCCTGGATCATGACTGTCTGACTGTGGTACTGCCATTACTGGTAGCTTTAGAAAGAATTTTAAGCCATGCACCACGGCCGCGGCCGCGGCCTCCTATATTCCAGCACCCGACAAACGTTAAGTTGCAGACTGAACTTCACAAGTGGACCCTTCCTTCTACTCGTACAATTACAAACCACTTTGAAACTAATTATGGGTGCATTTGATCGACACTTTTGCACCCTAGAATCACGGTTTTTAAAGTAAAGACGTTTAGTTTAAAACGCAATTCGTTCAAGCGATTTTTTCGTCGGTCGTAAAAATAAACGTGTTTAAAAACACAAACATGTAATGCTGAAAAAGATGCGTTTTGTATCATGATTCTGCAGAATCACGGTCGCTAAAATTTGATTGAACGAATGTAGTCTCAATCCTGATTCTATCGTGGCCTGTTCCGGTTTGGGCAAAACCGCGCGCCTGCTTTTCATGCAATTGCATTCACTATACCATGCTCTTTATCGTCTTTATCATGCTCTTTATAGCCTGTTCCGTTATGTTATTCCTTGATTTCCTTCTATCATTTTCTCTTTCTGTCTTTCCTTATGTTATTCTTTGTTTCTTCCTTCTATTCTTATGTTTTTCTTTGTTTTTTCCTTCTATCACCTTTTCTTATGTAATTCTTTGTTTTATTTTTTTAAGCATTCTATCGACTTTCTCTTTCTGTCTTTTCTTATGTTATTCTTTGTTTCTTCCTTCTATTCTTATGTTATTCTTTGTTTTTTCCTTCTATCACCTTCTCTTATGTTATTCTTTGTTTTTATAATTCTATCACTTTCTCTTTTGTTATTCTTTGTTTCTTCCTTCTGTTTTAATAATTCTATCACTTTCTCTTTCTGTCTTTCCTTATTTTATTCTTTGTTTCTGCCTTCTTTCACCTTCTCTTATGTTTTTCTTGGTTTAAATCATTCTATCACTTCTTTTATGTTATTCTTCGTTTTAATCATTCTATCACTTTCTCTTTCTGTCTTTCCTGATGTTATTCTTTTTTTCTTCCTTCTATCACCTTCTCATTCTTTGTTTTATTATTGCGATCTATGCTCAAAACAGCAGTCGACAGTCGCCGTAAACAATTTCAAAAAAGCGCGCGCCAAGGTTGACCTATACTTCCTGGGTCAACTGCGCAGTGTGATGCGCAGTGGCTGGGCTCGAAATGAGCTAGAATCAGCGTTGATGAAAAATCGCTTGAACGCAAACCGCAGTGACTTTATTTTTTATAACAGCGTTTTGATTTGTAATTCATGTTTGTGATTCTAGCTTCAAAAAATCAATTAAACGCACCCTAAGAACATAACAACAAAATTGAACATTTGTCATTTGATACCAGAGTGAAGGCGATTTGCTTAAAGGTATAGAGTCTACCAGTTTTGGAAACGTCCCCTCTCAAACAATAAAATGGAAGCTGTTATTACCAATCATGTGAAAGAATATGTTTTGACTACTTAAAGATAAACTTTAGTACTGGTAATGCGATTGCATTGTGAAAGAAAAGGTGTGGAAATTAGGATCAGAAACAGTTGATCATGTAGCATGTAAGTATTGGTGTGCACTGCAAGGTTCTGGAGTCATCAAAATCATAATAAATTTGACCGAGTCTTGGTAAAGTAACAAGCGCTGTACACGGAAAGCTACATGTATATATGGGACAACACACATGGTGTCGGGGCTGGTACTACCTTGATTTCCTTGTCTTTCTATGCTCATTACTCAGCCAGTATACATTTTCTTCCAAAATTGTTTGGCACATGTCATTTATTTGTAATCTTGAACATTCAGTGTAAGTTTCGTTTGATTCTGTGAGAATTAATTTTCTTTTTTTTACCAGAACTCAAGTTTATCTTTAATACGTGATGATACAAAAGCTGCCTACTATTGATATATTTAGTAAATTATCACATCGATCTGGCCTGGATAGATATCGCAAATGCAATTTAACATTGAACATTTGGGCATATATTTCTGCTTTTTTGCAAATTTAGGTTGAAGTATTGCCATCTAAACTTCTGAAGGCAATATTTAAACAATATTGAATGGATATTTTGCACCCAGAACCCTTGAACCGCAATTTTACCACTACCAGTCTATACATCTCTTTAATGTTATGAGCTAAAATGTGATTTACATTACAAAAACGCTAGCTGACCTCTCACAAGAGTTTGCCTTGTCGGTTCTGCCAGAAACACAAATACGTGCAGTGTACACATAATAATAGCTGTTTTCTCGTTACCAATATGATACTTCAACTATGATAATAGTAATTAGTTTAACATGATAATTAACAACTGATTAAGGCACACTAGTTTACTGAAATTAGTTTTTGTTTCTTGTATTTAAAAAAAAACTAAATCTTTTTTCTGCTATTCTGTGATTTCCTAGATTCAGTTCTGTTTAAGGCTTTCTTGGTATTATATTACAATGGAACAGTTCCACGAATATATTAATAATTCCTATATTTTCCAGCTTGTTTTTTCTTAATTTCATCCCTTGAGGAAATGATTTATTAAACATGTTATTATTTTATGATTTGTTTTAATGTTCATTCCCTTTCTTCTGTTTTGTGATTCCCCAGGCCTCGCTAGCCTCCAGGCCTCTCCAGTGAAACCAGTCTTCAAGGATCACTACCATGCCTCCGGGCAAATCAGACTGCCTTATGCTGAAATCATCGAACCCTTTGAGATCTTCTTCCAGGGCCCGAAAAACAGGAGTAGAATGGATACCTACAGTGGTGAGCCTTCTTCTCTTTTCTTTCTCGATCCTAAGTGACTTTGTTAGTGAAATGAAGAGATGCAGGGGAAAAAATACACGGGGGCTCAGGGCGAATTAGCCCCCGAAATGCCCAAAAGAGCCCCGAAAGTCATAGAAGAGCCCCCAAAAATGTGCATAGAATAGAGTTCAATGCAGAACAACTTAAAGAGTGTTATTTCATGCAAGCAAGGTTAAAAAGTAGCCCCCAAAATTGTTTAAATATTTTTTTCCCTGAAGAGATGTTGCAATCAACCTCCAAACCGGGAGAAGATACTTAGATAGATAGATAGATTTTGACCTCACACAGGCAAGGTGGCTAAGACGGTAAACCATCTGGTTTGAATCCAACCCAGGCAAATGACTAAAGTCTGTGTTGTGTTTTAAAGGACCCCTTTCCTGTTTCATAGATGCGGGCTATTAACAGAGGAAAGCACTCTGTCCCTCGGATAGGATGTTAAATGGTGTCTTCATGTAGAGGAGAGTCACAACCTTTACATGTTAAGAACCCACTGCACTTTTCATATAAGAGTAGGGGGAACCCCGGCGTAGTTGACCACCTCTACTACCCCAATCAGTTATACCAGGAGGAGAGACCCGAGTGTTACAATAATTCAGTTTGCTTTTCGCCTCCCGTGCACAGGTGATGCCAAATACATAATAGTTATATAATAATAATCTAAAACTGAAGTCATGCCTATGTAATGGGGAAATTGTACACTTGTATCAATCAGATATGATCATTTACCTTGATGTTTTACTTTATCATCCAAAAGACGTTACTCACTTTCAAACAATGATCTGTCCACTTGAGTTAGTTTGTAGGCAAAGACAGACAATTGACCATCCCCTTACACCAACTCTCTGGCAAGAATTAATTCCTTGAAATGCTAGAGCGCCGTAATGGCAGCCGTGCTGAAGCCGGGGTAATAATCTGGAGCGCCAGAAGTGTCAAGTCTGACAGACATGAGCGCTATACAAGAACCCACTATTATTATTACCCCCTGTTTAAGTAAACTGTATTTATTTGTTGTGACTGTCACAGAGTAATACAAAACTTACATTTTATAGTACTCATATTTTTTTTTTTGGCCTTAGCATGATTATTTGTGTTGAATGACCAAATTTTTGTTAAAAGTTAAGTTTTCAAATAAATAAAAAAAAAAAAAATTGAAGCTGAACTCTGTATTTCCATCAACTTGTAGGCATGGACAAGGTGTACTTCCGAGGTGATGAGAAGGATTATGGTAATCTCTACAAGATCTCTCCCGCTACCTTGAAAGGTATCGCCTCTCTTGAGAGCTGTTTCCTCATCCCCGGTGAGAAGGGGGCCCCGGTCATGCCTCAGAGTATGCTGCCTGATCTCACTGGCTTCACGGTAAGTTGAAATTTAAGTGGTGCAAAATAAGTAAGTCAGGCCTGATAATTACCCAATTTAAATTGGTTTCCTGATTCTTTTTATTTTTTTCCCCGATTCTTTTTTTCTTCCTGATTTTTTTTAATTATTTTTTTTACCCGATTTTTTTTCTTCTTCCTGATTTCGTCCCCATTTTCCTGATTTTTCCCAAATTTTCTCTATTTTTTCCTATTTTTCCCAATTTTCCCCCAATTTCCCCCAATTTCCCCCCAATTTCCCCCCAATTTTCTTACTCAAAAGGGGGGAATGTTATTTGATGACATTTTTTTTTTTAGTGCTCACTATCACCTCTGGTAAGTTGAAAATAAAATTTCATGAGTTTGAGTGCACTCTACACCCTGGACCACTAAATAGCCATATATTTTCATGGTATAATTTCACTTTGTAAAATTTTCAACATAACCTTTTCAGTAAGTATTTAACATATTCCCATAAGAATATCTTGGATTTGGATATATTCTAAAAGAAGTACTTGATGCAAGTATATATCTTGATGATGATTATTATGATGACTATTATCTACCAATTCGGGGGTGGCCGTGGTGCTACGTTTACCCACATCCATGATTTAACATTTACCTCTTGACTTGAGCATGCTCTATTTAACTAGAACACACTCTTTTCTTACAGTTCTTATCTGGTGGACTGCGAAACGGGCAGAGCGTAAACTTGTGGCAGAACAAAACCACCATGACGTTTTTTAACCAGTCACGCACCAGCACGTACACCTTCGCCGTCACCACCACCACCCCTCCAAGACCTGTACAGTATCGGATGATGGGATTTGATAGTCTGCTTGGTTCGCACTTTGACGAGTATATCATCGATTACGACTTCTATGATGAAGCAACTGCAATCTCTGATGATATCTTCAGCATCCCCAAAAGTGAGTCAGTGATAGAGAAATGAATTTAAAAAAATATGAACTAACGTGCAAATATGTTGAACTAACATGTATCATCGGGCATCTTTTAATTGCCAGAGTGAGCCTTCGTATTATCAAAGCAAAAGAAAATACACTTCTAAGTAGCGAAACACTCAATAGACATTATCTTTATATTTCATCCAAACCGTAGAATTTTTTTTAGAGCTTAGACAAGCTCATCCAATCCGTGGGACATATACATTGAAATTAAAACTCGTATCATCATTGCGGGTGTACCTTATTATTATTATGATTATCATCATCATCGTTATCATTACATGTCTCATTAACATTATCGTTATCATTATCATCATCAATTATTACCATCATCGTCACCATCGTCATCAACATCATTATTTTTATTATCATGATCATTTTATCATTGTCATTTTTTATCATTATCATTATCTTTATATATCACCATTTTTATCATCATTGTCATTATCGTTGTTTGCATAACTGTTAACAGGATTGTCATCATTAACATAACATACCTTGTAAACAACATCAACATCATGTGCAAAGCACCAATATTGATACAATTCATATTAAACTAACATCAACGTTACTGTTTTCAGATTTGACATGTGCTGGATTCCCAGGGCCTGGTGTGGAGCAGAAGATCAAGGGCAACCCCATGAGAGAGATGGTGAACCCAGAGATGGGTGACCGCCTCCATCAGCTCTTTGATGAGTACAAGCAGAAGTATGACAAGAGCTACAAGACGGACTTGGAGCATGTGCAACGCAAGGGCCATTTCACCAAGAATGTGAGGTAAGACCGGGCTTGACATAAGCTGGTGGATTGACTTGCTCCCATCTTTCTTTGAAGCATGAACTTAAAGCCCCACTGCATTACTTGTAGCTACTTGTGCCCTCTATATAGCAAAATGCCTTATCGGTGATTGTTGGTCCCCCATGATCCTCTTTTTCTTATGTTAACTGAGAGCTGACTTGATGAGATAACCACCTGTCAGTGGCCTTGCAGGGAAGTCTAATCCCCCTGACCAAACTAGTACAGATAAGCTTTAATACAATTTTTTTCTCTAAAAACCAGTAAAAAAAAAAAAAAATTGTTGGGTCGGTCGTAAAGGGCAATACAAGATATTTTGTTTTAGGCCTAGACGGGAGGAATTTTTAAAAATCAGTGGTTGTAATTTTTGTTTGAACGTGATACTCTGCTTTCGTCATTAGGATGATCCATTCCATCAACCGAGCCAACCTGGGTTACGTACTGGACATCAATCACATGGCTGACCAATCACATCAGGAGCTGAAGAGGATGAGAGGTCGTCTTCGACAAACCAGACCCAACAACGGACTCCCCTATGATGGTTCTGACGTCAGCGATGATGCCGTACCAGACCATATCGACTGGAATGTGCTGGGTGAGTGATCGTTGCACGGAGGCTTGTACAGTCAAACCTGCTTTATTGACCACCTGTCTACTAAGTCCACATTTTGTGGTTCCCTTGAAATTGGCTTCCCATGGAAATGTATACTAAAGGAACCTGTACATAAAGACCACTTGCCTATATAAAGACCACATCTTGTCTCCCTTGGGTGGTCTTTATAGACAGGTTTCACTGTATTCTGTCAGATGGTCTTTGTCTGTATGTCTCCCCCTACCCCCCCCCCCCTCCCACCACTCTCTTCCCTTTCTCTTTGTCCCTCTATCTTTTTGTCCATCACACCCTCCACCTCTCTCATGCTTGTTTTTGTGTCAATCTTGTTATTCTTACTCTTTCTATCTCTTTCTACTTTTCCCTTTCACTTTATCCTCTCTGTCCTTCCCCCCCCCCCTCTCTCTCTCTTTCTCTTTGTTTATCTTTGTCCCTCTATGTCTCTTTTATTGCAGCTCTTGTTTTTCCTCTCTGATTCACTTTCTCTTCATCTCTCTATTTTCTCCTATCCTTCACTCTGTGTTTATCCTCTTAATAGTCAAGGTTAGAAATCCCAAATATGTGGATTAAATTTAGTCTGCTGATCTATCAGGTTCTGAGTGTCAACCTCCGAGTGTCAACCTTTATTGCTGCAGTATTAATTTAGTGATGTACCAACAAAGCCTTATATCATTAGACTAGGTACATGTAGAATGAACTTTAAACTTTTCTGGAAACTTGAAACCTTTTTCGGCATGAAACTGTCACAAATTGCAGATAACAGGTTCTACTACAAAGTGCTCAAAGTCATTGTTGTGGTCTCTTGGGGGGGGGGGGGGGGGGGTTAAACTTTTGCAAATCTGAACTGCTCGCAAAGTTTGCAAAGTTTCCTGGTTTTACAGTTGAACTGGTTTATTGATTATTTAACAAAACATACATTCAAAGGTGCAGCCAAATGCTAAAACAAATCAAATCTAAAAAAGATTTAAGAAATACATTAAAATACAATACATTGAAAATACTGTAATATGCAGAGTAATATACAAATACAAAATAGTGATAATATTGCACCGACATACAACAAACAAACAAGGAAAGTAGTTTTTCTATATTGATATAAACCATGTGTTGTGTTTTACCTATATATCTCACATGTACAATGTAGGTGCTGTGAGTCCAGTCAAGGACCAGGCTGTATGTGGATCCTGTTGGAGTTTTGGATCGGCAGAAACCATTGAAGGAGCTGTCTTCATGCAGGTAGGTTGACTGCTATTTCCTCTGTATTTTTGTGGTATTTAACAGGAAACTAGATTATATTTTTCTCCTATTTTCATATGGGAAAATAGACAAAAAAAACATATTAATGGCCGAGGATTTAGAACAAAAGATAAATGAAAAAATATATTCAGAGTCGAAAATGGCCAAAAAACGTATTTCTGTACTTCTTACCCCCAATGATGTTGACTAGTTTTTTAATAATAATAAAAATTATAATAATTGGATTTATATAGTGCCTCTTCCAAAGGATACAAGGCGCTGTCTCTTTATCTATCAACAATTTAATAGAAGTTGTAGAGGTGTGTTTTCAGATGTTTTAGACTATTTTATTATGACTAGGGTTGTAATGTTTTACCTCTTATACAAATTGTTCCATTTGTAGAATTTCTCACATATTTCTCTCATATATCTGTTCTCTGTAGAGTGGCAAGCGAGTGCGGCTCTCGCAGCAGATGCTAATGGACTGCACATGGGCAGCAGGGAACAACGGGTGTGATGGGGGCGAGGAATGGAGAGTCTACGAGTGGCTCATGAAGAATGGAGGCATCCCACTGGAAGAGACCTACGGACCTTACCTTGGACAGGTATTAATCATCAGGAGTGTTTCATAGTTTTGTCTTAAAAGCCCATCTGCATTAGTTTGGCCAGGAGGGATTAGACCTCCCTGCATTGTCACTGACAGGTGGCTATCTCATCAAATCAGCTCTCAATTAACATTAGAAAAAGGTGACCATGTGGGACCAAAGGTCACCGATTAGGCATTGTTTGCTATATAGAGGGCTATATGTACGGAAGTGCAGTGGGGCTTTAAATACAAGGACTTGTATTTTAATAAGATATTTGTAGTTTATTTTCAGTTTTTTTTTCTCCAAAGCTATTATTAGTTTCTTCTGGATATTAATATGAATGTTCAAGAATTTTAAGGTTTGCATGTGTATTTCTGTCTTTAAAAACGCCCCGGGTACAGACTGTTTTCATTAAACAGCTGGCATTAAGTCTATTGTCTTGTAGCCAATCACAGCCTGTTATTATTTTTGGGGGGGAGGGCGCATTGTTCCTTTAGCTTCTGGATAATTAACCCTTTGCTTACGGGATACCTATACATTGCTTACCTATACAATTCAGTAGTCAACAGGTTAATATTGCCAGGGTTTTGGGCTTTCTGTTCATTCCTTGCGATTTACTCTGATGAGTGCAAAAGCAAAAGGAAAAAGCTTTACTATGTCTGTATTCATTACTATTCTTTGATTTTGTAGTACAAATCATCTCTTTTAAAGGCCGTCTGTACTGGTTTGGCTAGGAGGGATTAGACCACCCAGGGTGATCACTAACAGGTGGCTATCTCATCAACTCAGCTCTCAATTAACATAAGAAAAAGAGGATCATGGGGGATCAATGGTCACCAATTAGGCATTGTTTTCTATAGAGAGGGAGCAAGTAGCTACAAGTAGTACAGTGGGGCTTTAATATCGTATTTCGCTATAAAGACCCACTAACTCCTCATTAGAGGGATAGCCAGAGGCTTGATCACTTGAAAAGAACTCAAATTATACACTTTAAAGAATTTGGCTGATTACATAATGCATTTGATCATCTTTTGAATTGTTTACACTCCTTTGTAGGCTCTCAGTCATAGCAGACTATTAAATTAGTCTGAAAAAGAAAACAGTCAACAATAATTGCTGGTACAGTAAAAAGAAAACCAGTCTGCATTCTTTCTGATGGATCTCTAACCCTTTTGATTTCTCTCTCCTTTTCTCAGAATGGGATGTGCCATTACGACAAGTCCAAGGCTGTAGCGAGTATCAAGAAATACTACAACGTGACCTCCGGTAACCAGAAGGACCTCAAGAAAGCTCTGGCGACCAAAGGACCTATCGCTGTCGGCATCGATGCTGCTGTGCCCTCTTTCAGCTTCTACTCGTACGGGACATATTATGATGCTAGCTGTGGTATGGAATTTCTTTCTCTTTTTCTTCGTGTTTTTTTAAAATTTTCCTCCTCCTCCTTCTTTTTATTGCTCTTAGTATTATTATTTGTCTTTTTATTCTCTGACTTTTCCTCCTTTACATCCTTCTTCTTCTTCTCTTCTTTTCTTCTCTTTCTTCTTCCTCATCGTCTCCTTCTTTTCTTCTCTTTCTTCTTCTTCCTTGTCTTCTTCTTCTTTTCTTCTTCTTCTTCTTCTTCCTTGTCTTCTTCTTTTCTTCTTCTTCTTCTTCTTCTTCTTCTTCTTCTTCTTCTTCTTCTTCTTCTTCTTCTTCTTCTCCTTCTTCCTCATCGTCTTCTTCTTTTCTTCTCCTTCTTCTTGGACCTTCAGGTACTTTTGACATCTTCACCTCCATAACAAAATAATCAGGTACCGCCCTTTGAGTCGGTGTTGTTCAATTCAAATGTGAAGGAGCTTTGCTTGGATGTGATAAACACATACCGGTACTGCCAGACCAATCCAAAACCGACAATGAACAACAATACCGGTAAATGAAAAGTCTGGGCCATGTTGGGTAAAGCAATCGTTTGGTCTGTTGTTATTTATCTGTGTCTAATCTTGTCGATATGACGGAAGTATAAAAGCTACATGCCAAAGTTGATTGAATTCTTTGAAAATTATTATTATTATTGCAGGAAATACAGTAGATGATCTTGACCACGCCGTGCTGGCCGTTGGCTACGGGACCGACAGCAGCGGTCAAGACTACTGGTTGATCAAGAACTCCTGGTCCACCCATTGGGGCAACAATGGTTACGTGGCCATCAGCATGAAGGATAACAATTGTGGTGTGGCGACAGCTGCTACCTATGTAGAACTAGAGAAAAACTAGAAGGATGGTAACCACTATGTCACAATAACATGAATTCTTGTGTAGAAATAAGATAAATGATTAACTAAGAAATATTTCTTTCCTCACAAGAACGAAGGCCCAAAATTTGATGTTGCTATGGCTGCTAGTTATGTAGAACTTAAGTAAAACAAGTATGTCACACTAACAATATATCTGTAATAGGGATGAGGGAAATGATACGTTATGAAGTAATATTGTTTTCTTAAGCAGTATGAAGGACCCAAACTTCGTTGTACTCTTGTAGACTTTAGTATTAAGATGGTAAGGATTTTGTGACAATAATACCAATAGGGTAGTCGTATACAATAAAGGGTAGTAAGTTCACCACTGAATAGTTCATGTATACCAACATTTATGAAGAAATTCTAATTCATCTCATTTACAACTTCCTAAATATTTAGAACTGAAGTAAATGAATGGTAAATATAATGTTTCCTGATTTAGGATGGATGTGAAACTTTTGTAAAAATTTAGATGAAGGGATGGTATGAGTACCTTTCATGTGATATGATCACACATTTATAATTTTGCAGCAGTCTAAAAACTTCTAAAGTAAATGTTTGAATAATTTGTTGTCTTTCGTCAAGTGTTTGTAAATGTTATGTGATTAGAGGGAAGTAGAAATCTATTTCTTACTCTGTATTTGGTCAAGGCGTTGACTACTGAATGTTCTCCTTCCCATAGGCTTAACACAGGGACCATCCGGTTCCCATAGACAAAGGGTTAAGGTGTTTGTATCTTGATGTTATACCAATATGTATGAGTACTTGTGATGCTTCATTATTGCCTTTAATGAATAAAAAAAATCATAGAAATTTATTTACTAAATATGGTGCAATTAGAAACAAAAGAAAGTAGAAAGTATCTATGTCAATTTTCCAAAGAGTTATACCAGAGAAGGTCAAAAGAAAGAGGCTGTTGTTTAAAACTTGAACGGATTTGATTATCTTTTTATGGAACAAAAAGATGATTGCCTTTCTATGCTTTAGTTTGATCTGAAATAAAGACTTGTTCTATTTTGGGCATGGTAATGGTGCACTATTGTGAATGTATAGTATTTTTGTTCAATAAGTAGAGTTATCATTGTTATAGTTAGTGGTTCTAAGGACAATCTATGTTTGTTTGAAGGTGCACTTTAAAAAAGCAAATATGGGACAATTATGTGATAGTTGTGTGATTTGTGTCCACATCTATAAAACATATTGAAACTTGTGTTTATGTTTGTATCGACTTCTCTATACATAATGATTGGGATTTAATGAATACCTACACATTTCTTTTGACAATCGTACAAGTATAATATATCTTGAAACGTTGACATTTCCAGCTATGATTGGTAATTTTTCTAACATATATGTGAAATATTTCTTATTTGCACATCAATCAAAGAAATTTGATAACTAGATTTAGAATTAAAAATTACCCATTACAATAATTATGATTTAAATGATTTCATGTCCTATGCAATAAGTGAATCTACCTTGAAGTGATTTAAAAATACACTCTCAGTACTTAATCTTTTAATTCAAAGAATAAACTACAGTGGACTGAGTTCCAGCTACAAATCATTCAATACATACTGAGTTTCAAACTTTATTTTGCCTGAAAATCAGATGAGTGGGCAGAAAATGTAATATATGTTCATTCTTCATTAGTCTTAATTGGCTTGGGGGGGGGGGGGTGTAATGCTCCTCTATAGATCATGCATACTTTGTGTTGATATTAGTCCATTGTAGAAATAATGTTTGTATTTCTCTATATTGCAGTATATTAATATTAATGATAACATTTATTTTTTGTAAAAATTTCATGAATAAAAATTGAGCAATAAAATGAGAGCATAAAATGCATGGAGAGTTGAATTTATTATAAGAATTTCAGTGTAATGGATTATTTTATTCTCCTGTATCCTGTATATATTTATGTGTCCTCTATCCCTCGATCCCCCTCCTTCCCCGTTCACTTATTTTATTATTTCTAAATTTTAGTAGCATTTTGACATTTTGACATAATTGCATTCTCCCTGTTTCCATTAACTACCAAATTAAAATTTAGTAACATAGAATCACAAATGAGAATAACACATTACAAAAATATATTTAAGACATAAATACAAAAAATTCAACAAAGAAATACATGTGCCTGACAAAGAAATGGGAAATATATGCAGAGTATGACCAGCCCAATTAAGAAAAAGACACTAAGGCAAACAAGAAAATGTAACAGACATTTCGAAATAGAGAGAAGCAAATATAGCTGCAGGAGAGGAGATCGGAGAACAGAACAAATTAATAAGTAGTGAGAGAAATTTGAAGAGAGCACTATGAGAATAAAACAAGCCAATGCGAGCTAGAGATAGGGGGGGGGGGCGGGGGAGAAAGCGGAAAAGGCTCACTAGCAATCGAGGTAAGTTGAAGGGAGATACAGGCTTGTTAAAGAAGGAGGATGAAGAGAAAAATATTCCCCCCCCCCCCCAAAAAAAAACAAAAAACAACAATCGGCGAGATCGAAAGAAATCAAATTGAATTACATAACAGTTGAATGTAATGCACCTGTTATATCGTCCAATCGCGAAGCTATGGTCTGATCACGTGATAGGTTGCTAGCCAAATTGTTTAAACCAATCCAGGATCCAGGGCCGAGCCTCTTTTTCTTTCCGTCGACAACTGAGGTAATATTTCACTCTTTAATTGATTTGTCTGAAATTTATTGCATATCTGTGTAAAATGGCCGTAAAGTATTATGATTTTACAATCATTTGGAATTTGATGGCATCAAAACGTCTTTTGTTAACGTTGTTGTTGCATGTTGTGCCGTCGCTTCTTTTGCAATTTCCCACAACAGTCCCACACACCGAATTTCAAGTTTGTTTTTATTTCTAACGAGTTTAAAATCTCGTTTGCTCTGTAGTGTGTGGAACGACTGTGGGGTGGCTTGTGGCTTGTGACTTCGTTGTTCTTAAACAGGGTGTAGCATGTCAAATACTGGTTAATTCTAGTCTATCTATGACTTCTTTTGGACAACTGCACGTAAACGAATGGACTTGATTTAAAACGGTCAGCGCACGCTAGCGTTCGCGAAACAGACCAAACTCCAAACTCCAAAGTTCTCCTCGCACTTCGATTTCGCATAAGTTGCATGCACGTGAATACTGTGGTCACGTCGTCCGTAGTCGTATTATACCTGATTGGCCCAGAGTCAGGCCATGGGAAGACACATAGATCTAGTCTCGTAATGCTACACCCCCTTAAAGTTGAGCGATTGTGTGAACGGTTTCCATTGAAAACTGCAATCAAGACTAAAAATGAAGTTGAACTTCAGGCGGCTTGTACATTCGTATACTGACATCGGCCCGTAACTCTGGTGTGGAGATACCCTACTACTGACTACTACTGCTAGTAGTACTAGTATTAGTACTAAAACATACCAACTACACTTCTGAATCTGAGCATTGCAATGATTAAATTAGGTTCAGAAGTGCAAACGTCACACCGATTGATTGTGTTAGATTTATAGTTTGATGAAACGATGCCCAGGTTACCATGACCTTGTTCTGTAGCTTCCCCTGACCATGTTTTATTTTTGGTAATTCTCCTGGTTATTTTTTTTTTCTCTCTCTCTATTTCGCTCTAAAGTCTATATAAATTTCATCTCTTTTCTTCTTCAATTCTTGTGTCCTTTTTCATTTTATTTTCTTTCTCCAGGCTTTTTGTTCATTTATTTTGTTTTTATTTTGAATTGGTTTCCTGGAAATGCACTTTCCTTACTTTTTTTTGTTTTTGATCATATCATTGACATTCTATTCATCTTGTTTGCCTACAACTACTACCATTAATAACAATACTAGTACTACTACTATTTTTAATATTGTAATCATTATTATCATTATTTTTTTTATTTAAAAAATATTTTTTGTTATATCCCTCTGTTTTTCAGACAAGCATTATTGTAGAGACATGATGCAGAACACTTCAAGATGATACGAGCTTCAAAATGATGATTCAAAGAAAACTTGTGCTGTTTTATAACTTCTTATTCAAGCAAGCTGACATCATAGGCAGTGTATAATTCACTTCAGGTAGAGTGGACAAGAAATTTATCCAGCATCTACTCCTCAGGCTGTTACTAATTACTTTCCAAGAACAACTATTCTAGTCCCTGCAATTAAAAATATTTTATCCAAATTCCATTTAGATGAAATAAGAACCTTTAATTTACTGATACCACTATAATGTAAATGACCCCCCCCCCCCCAGAAACAATTACACTCTAAGAACAACTATATACCGTACCTACAAACAAAACCTTTATCATTTATGTCACTCATGCAGCCCCAGGAATTATGCACTAATTTTTATGGGCTAATAGAGAATTAGAGATAGTTTTTATTTTGGAAAGATAGATCTAGTCCTGTGTAAAAAAAAAAGAAGCTTTTTTGTTTGCAGTAGCCATTTTTGTGATTTAGAATTGTATGTGTACACGTGTAAGTGTGATTTTCACACAGTGGTAGGGTAGTTTAGTATTTGATAGTAATACCACCTGAGCTCTTCATCAGTTTACCAAATACCAGAGCTTTTTTTGAGCTTTCTGCATGGAGCTTTACCGCTCACCGCTCCCCATGTAGGTTTTCGCTGGTCATCGCCTCTTCAATAATGTGATATCAATTCCTGCCCCCCCCCCCCTCCCCTCTCCCTCCTGTGGAGATATCACCTGGGGAGTGTTTCATGTTCATGCCACTAGTTGCTCTCACCATTGGTCTCTCAATAATGATCTTTAGATAATATTTTTTTCCTTCAATAATGAACTATTAAAAAAGGTACATTTTTTAGATTTGTGACCACGATGTGTACGTCCCTTGAGAAACCAATGCCAGGAATGGTTAGAGGAACTAGTGGCATGAAAGGCCTGCCATAGTTAAGTTCAACTAAAAGTTGATCTTAGTCTTTGTGAAACACTCCCCAGGAGTAGTAAATAATGTCTGAATGCACCTCTTTATATTTCTTTATGTTAGTCGTAACTCCACAGCTATGGAATGCCGCTTGGCAGGGCTCCTGTTCACCTCCAAGTTTGACTCTGGTAACTTGGCCCGGGTAGAGAGAGTCAGTTCTGACGATGATGAGGACGGGACAGGCCACCGGGTGGGGGATGCCAACGCTGCCCCGGACTACGAGTTTAACCTCTGGACCAATCCAGACTGCGGAGGAACAGAGTTTGAAAATGGCAACAGGCAAGTTTCTCAAGAAAGTTATGACATGAGGGGAAATCTCCATTGAGTGGTATTTCCAGCCTGAATCAATTGAGAGAAGTATCAAATGGTACAAAACCTATCATGGCAGTGATATAATGCTGTGCATTATCCATTATCTTGCTCTCTGTGGGGACCCATAGGCCATATGAGGTTACTATGTGATATATTTGTACTGTTCACACTAGAAATGATGCCACTCTCTACCCAAAATTTTGAAATGTCTTATAAATGTATACATGTTCATATTCATATTCATATTTATTTCATTTCCAACAGAAAGGTAAACAAAGATATTACATTTAATTTCATACATAATTCATTTTTTCAAGAAACTATACAAATAAACTTTGCACATGATAAAATTATTACAATAATTTCTTAATTTCTGAGGAAATGGGGGGCATCCACTAAAAAGCAGTGCACCACTAAAAAGCAGCACCCACACGGACTGCAAAATTATTTGGGTATATTTTGTATCAAACACATACTAATGTATAGAACTCATTCTTTTGGCTGGCTCAAATTACTTCATGCAATTATAAGAAATAACAGAAAATAGAAGTCTATAATATTTTGCATAGAACCTTCAATTAAAATGGTAAATCAGAAAAATAAGTCAGGTCACCCAGACTATATGCTTACTGAGTTTAACTTTCTTATTCTTCTCCCAATCGTTTTCCTCCCTATGTCGATCCTCACAGAACCTGGTTCCACTTTGCAGTGAAGGGTTGCCCCATGAATAAACTGATCAAGTTTAACATCATGAACATGAACAAGCAGGGCAAGCTCTACAATCAGGGGCTAGCGCCGGTCGTCAAAGTCCTCCCACAGAAACCCAAGTGGGAACGCATCCGGGACAGGCCCTACCATGAGGTGAGAAAATGTCCAATCTCTCTCTGTCTCTCTTTCTCTTCTTTTTGATAATTTACATACAAGTTCTGACAGTCTCCCCCTCCACACTTGATGATGAATACCATTAAAGGTAGAATTTGTTAATTTAAAACAAAAAAACTTGTTTGTAAAAATGTGATTAAGAATGATCAAGAAAACATAAATATTAAAAAAATTTAAATTAAAAAAAATATCATCTATGGAGAGTGAAAAGGCTTTGTCTGAAGCATTCTGTAGACTAGACAAAAGAAGCCTTAATACATGAATTTATAGGTTTGAACTGTGCAGTGCACTAAGTTTACTTACTGTAGGCTTGATACATATTGATTTGCCTCGTTCGGGTCTCCACGAACTGTAGTATGTTCAAAGGTAGAATCTGCAGATAACTAGAAACTTGCATCAGTGCATAACCATTCAGTCGTGCATTTTCATTCTTTTACTCTGCAGACTGTGGATGGTCAGTTCATTCTCTCCTTCACCTATCGCTTTGAGTACCGCTTCTCTACGGTCTACTTTGCGTTCTGCTACCCGTATTCCTACACAGAGTACCAGGACAAGTTCACTGAGCTGGACAACAAATTCAGCAGCAGGAATTATGATTCAGGCTGGTAAGTTGATTTTTTCTTTGGGTGGGAGTCTAAGGTTTATGATATTGGGCAAAGGGGCAGGCTTTTTATTGGGTGTTTAAATTTGAAAAAAGGATTTCCCTAAATATGGCCCAATTAAATGATGTGGATTAGAACAAAAAAAATGTATGTAGGTTATCTTTCACAATAAATGACTAAATGCTAAAGAGTAGTTATTAGTTATTATCCACGAGTTATAGTTGCCGAGGGGGGAGGGGGGGGGGGTGGGGTGAAATCTACTACCTCCAGGAGCTACGTGTGGACCTCATAACCATCCTACATAGCCACATCTCTCGAACAACAATGTATTAGTATTTAATTCCTTTCTAAATCAAACTCTGTCTTACCTCAGCCCTAATCGTGCAATCTACTACCATCGGGAGGTGCTATGCCCCTCCTTGGACAAGCTTCATGTGGAGCTTATAGCCATCCGATATAGACCTATCTCTGTAACAACAATGTAATCATATTTCAGGCCTTAAATTTCAATATTTTTAGTGCAAACTAGGCCACTTTTCTGTAGGGCACATTCCTATATTAAGAAGAATAGGAAGAATTGGAAAGGGCACACAGAATCTCCAAGGCCAATGAGAGGGGCATTGAGGCCAATCAAAGGGGCATCCAAGGCCATGGCCTTGGTGGCCTTGGATTAATTTAAGCCCTGATATTTTATGCTTCTTTTGATCCTAATCCAGCCCTAACAGTGCAATCTACTACGTTGTACCACCGGGAGGTACTATGTCACTCCTTGGACAAGCTTCTTGTGGACCTCATAACCATCTGATATAGCCACATCTCTCGAACAACATTGTAATTGTATTTAATTCCTTTCTAAATCAAACTCTATCTTAATTCAGCCCTAACAGTGCAATCTACTACCATCGGGAGGTGCTATGCCACTCCTTGGACAAGCTACGTGTGGACCTCATAACCATTTCATCTTGCCATGGACTAACCACAGAGAGGGAACCAAGACTTCATAGACTCTTCCCTGATACATCTACAGAGAGGGCTAGGAAGTTCAGAGGAAAGAGGGTAATCTTTAGCACTATATTCTCAAGTACATGTACCATGCTCCTATATGTAGTCTTATCAATTTCATTAACAATACAACCAGACCTTGGTCTTTCGGGATTTAGCTTGAATAAAGAGATGTCTCAGAATTTGTAGAGTCATATACTTAGAAGCCAGTTTCCATTTTTTCTTCTAATATCAGGACTATCCAAGAACTATGTATGCTAATGAGTTACAGTTCATTATCATAAACCATATATTTTTATGACCTCATCTTCCAGGTTTATTTCTTGAGTAGTCGTGTTCATCCAGGCGAGACACCAGCCAGTTTCGTCTTTAATGGATTCTTTGACTTCATCCTGCGTAGCAAGGATGAGAGAGCCAGTCAGCTCCGGAAGCAATACGTCTTCAAACTGGTCCCTCTCCTGAACCCTGATGGTGTCCAGAGGGGCTACTACCGCACCGACCAACGGGGCGTCAACCTCAACAGGGTCTATGTGAACCCTGACCCCGAGCTCCATCCGTCCATCTTTGCCGCCAAGAGCGTAGTTCAGCACCATCATGTGAATTCCAGAGTGATGAGGTCATCAGTTGACTCGGGACAAGGTAGGGGAATTCCCCATGGCCGCAGTGGGGAAACCCCTGTTAGTCATGATAGGGTGAGTGGGAATGAAAGGACAGAGGGTACAGACAATGCGGAGGAAGGTACAGAGGTGAGGGCAGAACTAGGGAAGGACAAGTTTGTCATTGAAAAGAAAGGCGTAGGGGCTAATGCAATTCTCGTTGTGCACCGTGGCAACAAATTAGACAACAGTTCACCACTGCTGTCTAATGATGAAGAGAAGAGATACAGTCCTAATGAAGGAGGGATAAACTCATACGGTGATGGATTGACGCCGAGTAATGATTTAATGTTCTTGCCAAACAGTACCTCCCACAATGGCAAAGAGATTTCAAGGGACGATGCATCTGTGGACGATTCTGACGTCGAAAGCGTCGTCGGCATGAAGACGCAAACCCCCTTATCTTGCAATCAATCTAACAACAATGCACAGCAAGTATTACCAGTAAACTGTGGGGATACCGACCCAATGTCTATACCCTCGGAAGAAAGTGGTATAGCATTCTACGTGGACCTTCACGGCCACGCCTCCAAGCGCGGCTGCTTCATCTACGGCAACTTTCACGAGGATGAGGAACGACAGACGGAGAACCTCCTCTTCCCGAAGCTGATCGCTATGAACTCTGCGCACTTTGATTTTGATGGATGTAACTTCACAGAGAAAAACATGTACACTAAGGACAGAAGGGATGGCATGTCGAAGGAAGGCAGCGGCCGGGTTGGTATCTACAAAGCAACAGGAATCATTCACAGGTACCATGGTTGTGATGTCGAGTAAATTGGGCAACAAATTTATATGATTTTTCAACCTCTTCTTGAATCTATTGTAGAATTTCTAAGTTATTAACAACAAAAAAGAGAGCAGACTCCCCATGTACTGCTGCTGCATTAACAAACAAAAATTGTATTATTGTTTTTTTGAGGGGGGGTTATTTTATTTTCTCAACCATAAGATTTAACAGCTCTGTTTGGAATACCCCCCACCCACTCTGCCTTTATATGCAACATCAATAAGATATTGGCAACTTTAGAGAAACTATACTACATGTACATATGAAATCTTGGTTTTCGGTATTTCAAAGAGAGAAAGAAAGAAAAAGAAAAAAGGAAGAAAAAATCAAGTATAAAAAGACTAATAGGCAAGATATTGTTTGCATTTTCAAAGAACCTTGCCTCCAATTTCTGCAGAAATCATATTCACTGAAAAAAGCGATCTTTGCTGAGAGTAATATTATATCATAGTAGTTGTTTCAAAACTGTTCTCACTTTTATCCAGCTACACTCTAGAGTGCAACTATAACTCTGGTCGCTTTGTGAACTCCCTCGCTCCAGCCTCCAATGATGAAGGGAGGGCATCACCGCCTCCCCTGGCTGGGTACCCGCCCAAGTATGGACCCCAACATTATGAAGAGGTAAGTATCGAGGGGTCAGACGTAACTCCATTTTGGCCATTTTGAGAAAAAGTGGTTTATGTGTCACTGAGCATTTGGGCCTTAAGAGGTTAAGTCTATGTTTCACTAGCCATTGGCTTCTATGGGGTGTTGGGTGGAGTTAAGTCTTTGTGTTTCCTGGAAAGCCCACATTTTTCTGAACATTTTGATGTCAAATACTCATTTTGGCAAAATATGGAGTTACGTCTTTGTGTCACTGAACCCTCGATTTGATGTCATTGAATTCAGATTTCAATAACTGAGTTATAGCGTTGTGTAGTGTCATATACCTTCTGTTGGGATCCAGAAGCGCTTTTATTCCTATCATTAAATGCCCTTCTGGCTCCTAACAGACAGTTCTTGTGCGTCATTTAGCAACTTGGAAGATGTTTGCCATTTAAAAGTATCGCTTATTTGTAGTTTCAGTGTGAAAAGGGTATTTTAATAGCATTCATAAACTTGCTTTTATAAATTGTATAGTTTGTTTTTCACTTATACATGTAGGTAATGCACAGTGTTACAAAATTTAAGGAGTAACAAAATAGATTTCCTTATTATTTTATTTTTTTGACACACCCAGGTAGGGAGCACTCATTATGTAACAGTTCGCTCTGGAATGCTAGCACTTTTAAGATATTGATGTGTACTTTTGACTTTCTCGAAATTTTCTGTCACAGCTATATACTTTCTTTTGTTATGGGGAGTACCTTGTCCTGTACATGTACCTGGCTCAATAGTAACAAGGGGTTCAAAGGTCACTTACCCTAACTTTGACCTCCACACTACAAAATATCAATATTTCATAAACAGGCGGCCATTGCCATTGTCAATCCAGATCCCAATGGAAAATAGTTTAGTTTCTGGTTCTGATTTTTATCCATTTTTCAGGTTGGCAGAGCAACAGCCATAGCTGCCTTGGACATCACAGATACAAACCCTTGGTCTCGGCTGGCAGGCACAGAGAGTGGCAGCGTTCACGGTGTCAGGGCATGGGTTCAACGCTACTTACGGAGCATGCGCGGGGCTCCCTCACTGCCCAAGAAGATGTCGAGGGTCGCTTCAAAAACATCCAGGTACACCAATGTAGTGTCTCACTTTGATAAGGGAAAAACATTTAATACAACAATATTGGTATTTTTATGATTGAAATAACGGTGCATATTAAGGTAATCAACAATATTCTAACTCTAGATGCAGAAAAAATGGGTAATTTTCTTTTTTCCTCTATATTGTGCTGTATTACACTTTGAGACAACTAATACTTTTTTATGGTCATTTTAGGGTATCTTTTAATGACAATGAAAGTCAAATGAGGGGTAAAAAGAACTGGGCCAATAACATTCAGTAATCTAGGACCTGATTGCAGCGTGCCTTTAATTTAATACAACCAGTTGATTGATATAGGAAGTCAATCAATAATCTAAATGGCTCCAATAGTAACAATCTTTTTTTTAATTGTCTTTGTAATATTCCAGTCTTGTTGCAACAGTGATGACTCCCGCAAAGCCTAACAGAACAAATCTGTTCCAATCTGGCAACTCCGGCAACCATGCAGGCACCAGCAACGCCACAAACTATTCCATTGCACAACAGAATACAAGCAACAGTCCAAAGAGAAATCTACATTCCAAACCGTTAGGACCTGTAAGAGGTAAGAAACCACAAACACATTTAAAAAATGTAAAAGCAATGGCAACATTTTGTTTTTAAAAGTAGAGAAAAGATGTAACTTTATACATTTTATTCAATTATTCACTTATGCGGAGAGTGTAAGTGTATCATGAAACTATTTATTCTACCCCCCCCCCCCTCTCCCTTACATAGGGAATGTCAAGTGGTCTTACTAGTAATTAGCCCTCTGGCCCATCTTTCTAAGAAACAGAGGGACAGAATCAAACTTTTGTCTTTCAATTTATAACATTAATATTTGTCCCAGATGTATACATAAACTAAGCTCATGTTTTATCCCTATGTTTTCTAGAATCTGTTGGAAGATAAAAAGCATTGAATTTCCTCTAGAAAATGATGAAGCTTTGTTTACTTCTTGCTTCCCTATAATCATCTTGTGCGAGATGTTTGACAAACAACATTTGTCCGTTATTGTTCTAATTATTGATCAAATTATTTGACTGCCGGTCCACCCGTAGAGAATAAAACACGCTTGCTTACAATATATTTTATCACCTGACGAAGTGTTGCAGCAGCGCACGAAACATTGTGATCTTTTAGATCCCTTGTTGACCATAAATTGCGAGACAAAATTTTTGATAACATTTGTCATGGTTTGATCTGTTGTTATTGCAGAAACCAGAGCATCAATGGAGAGGAGAAAGCATCTAGCTACCCTTCAAGGGACCGGTAACTCAACATCCACTGCATCCTCGGCTGCTCCCGCCTCCACCACCACCACCACCGTGGGCGTGGCATCCACCTTACCATCAGGGGGGAGGAACTTCACCATACCCCTCCCCCTGACCCACCACAAACAGTCACCACCATCAACCACCAGATCCCTCAAGGCCGGACCGGCGTGGGCACATAAGAAGAACAAGTCTGACTCGGCGCTGGGAAAGAGCGCGGTCGAGTCTGGGGGCGGACAGAAGGAATCAAGCAACCAGCTCTCGCCCCGAACCCTACTCTCAAAGTCAACCAATAATCTAGGGACGTTCACCCGCCATGGAGGCCCTATGGCGTCAAGCACGCTGCCCTCTGTTGTCACCGAGCTGCTGAACTCCGTCATGATCAATGCGCTGGAGGGGTCCCAAGGTGGCGACAAGGAGCAGTCCCATGCATTCTCGACGGCGTCGACAGCGCAGCAAAGAACGGCGATGTATGTCAAGAACCATGGGGTGAGTGCATGAGTGAGTGAGAAAGAACGTGTTTCAAGCTTTGTGGTGAGTGAATAGTGTCAATGCAAAGCATCAACATTAACCTACAACAGGGACCCGTTTCACAAAGGCTTTTTTCAATGAAAAATGACAAAAGTCAGTGACAAATCTGCTGACAACCAATCAGAGGCAAGGATTTCAGTAGCTTATAACAAAACCTGTCATTTGTCACTGATGGCAAGTTCTGTGAAACGCCCCCCTGTACTAACCCATTGGATTTATATGCAAGCACACTAATACATTATGAAGCTGCAATGCGCTTTTGAGTGTGCATACCATATGTAGACCCTGTATTTGTATCCTTGTTATGAAATGTTATTATCATGTACATTGGTCGACCTCTTGAGGAAAAAAAACAGTGTAAAACACATCATTTTAAAGAAATGTTTGCATGTTTTTTACATTAACTACATGTATGATGATTCAAATGTGATTTTATGCAGGCATTAACAACATGACATCTTTGTTTGGAAATATTTTTTAAAATTCCAGACATATTTTGGTGTTTGCAAAATTTAAATTTTTTCATTTGATAACACTATTATTATGAGCACCTAACAGTCATCTGCAAAATGCATCTAACCCATTGCCTACAGGGATCACACTATATGGTAATAAAAGAATTCAGAAGTCCACGGCCTAGCTAAGCCCTGTACAATATTGATTTTTAGTTCCCCCCCCTTCTTTTTAATTTTGTCGATGTTTTTTTTTGTTTTGATAAGATATTTTTAAAAAGTTAGGAATCTTAGGAAATCTGGACTACGAATTACTTAAAATTATGAGTTAATGCAATTTTAACTTGTGTTGAATCTCTGTATTGCATTGGAAAAGTGAAATATTTTCAAGAAAAATTGTGATGAAATTGACCTACACATGTATAGTATTTTGTATGTGCAAGAAGAATGTCACATACCAACACAAACGCCTCTTTATTTAAAAACAGACAAGAAACTACAAATCAATTAGCTTGGCATTCATGATTTGGATTCAATTTGAACTAACTCTTCACAGGCTACAATCATCTACGCTTTTCATTAACCTTTAACTTGCATATTTGCCATTTTTACACTGTGTCTGCCCCTCCGCTGCTTGTCTGATGTTGCACTCACCTACAGAGCACTGTGTTATCACCCAGTACATCTGATGCTGTGCACACAGTCAAGCTAGAGTTCCCTCCAACGGTAAGAACATATCACTTGCTGGCAGGGGTGTCCTCTATCATATTGCTCAATGATTCTTGCAAAGGTTCTGTGTGGAATTCTGTATGAAGGATGACAGAGACACTATTGTTATATAATTTGTTTTTTGTTTTACTGCAGTTTTCAAACAAACGTAATAGCATTATTTTGTTTTCAGAAAAGATTGGCATATATCGTCACTGTTTTCACGAAGTGACGGTAGTGAGAAAAATCCGCACACAAAGTGAATGCGATTTTCATTCACTACCGTCACTTCGTGAAAATAGGGACGATATGGGTGTGCTGCTTTTAAAGGGGGTGTAGCATGGCACATACTGGTAAAACGCCATGTGCGACTGCTTTTGGACAACTGCTAGTAAACGAATGGACTTGATTAACGGTCAGCGCACTAGCATTCGTGTAACAGACCGAAGTTCTCCTCACGCTCGGTTTTGCATATATGTTTAACGCTTGTGAATACTGCGGTTGCGTCGTCTGTAGTCGTATTATACCCAATTGGCCCCCGGGTCAGGCCACAGGAAAGACAAGTACATGTAGTCTCGTTATGCTACACCCCCTTTAATTACAGGTTCTCATCGTTCATCAGCTATGTTCAACTTATTAATGAATCATTCATTTTACTGCCAATATCAATCATACCATATGACCCTATAAAGTAACTCAGCTCTGAAAATGTAATCTATCAGGACACTTGTTAGACCTTTTTATGGCTATACATATGATGCAGCAATAATCACTTCTCGCTTGTTTGCTTTGTAGCCTTATAAGCAATTTTATATACATGATATGTACGAAGACAAAAAAGGCTTTTTATGTTTTATTTTCCTATAGTATCATAGAATTGTCCTTTCCTTTATACCAACCACGGCAATATTGACATCAAATTTTGGTCATCCGACAGTTGCTTGTGCTTCTCTGACATTTGCTCCAGGCTTGTTTTAGATATATAGGGATAGGGTTAGGTGTGCAAGTGGATTCAGGGGGGGGGGGGGGGGGGGGCGTTTCACAAATCTTGTCATCAGTGACAAATGACAGTTTTTGTTATAAGCTACTGACATTCTTGCTTCTGATTGGTTATCAGTAGATTTGTCACTGATTTTTGTCATTTGTCATTGAAAAAAGGCTTTGTGAAACGGGTCCCTGGGCTTCAGGTCAGGTTAAGAGTTGGTATTTGTTCCAGGGTTGAAGTTCAGATTACGTTTTGTGTTCAGAGATTGGCTATGGAGCATTTATATTATAGCCAGAGCATGTGTTGTACAACCTGAATTGTACTCTCTTCCTGACTTATTTTTTCGCTTTCTCTAGGCACCATCTGCACTCTCACCTAAGGGCCACCAATCTTTGTTTCCACGGCAACACATGACAATAGACCTTCGGGCATCCTCATCACAGCCCGCTCAACATCATGGCAACATACATGTGCAGGGGGAGAAGAGTGATCTCAAAGCACTGGGGAGTCTGTGTTTACATGAGGACAGGTAAGCAAGATAGATAGATAGAGAAAGACAGAGAGAGAGAGAGATATATATATATATATATATATTAGACAAGCATACATGTAAAGCCAGAGAGAGAGAGAGAGAGAGAGAGGGGGCAAAAAAGGATAGAGAAGATTAAGGAAGATTGAGAGAGAGAGAGATATAGACAAGCATACACGTAGAGGGGGAGAAGAGTGAGCTCAAACCTTTAGGGAGCCTATGTTTACATTAGGAGAGATTAGCGAAAGTGAGATGGAACAAAATAAGGAGAGACAGATCTAGACAGGCAGACAGAAGCTGGCAGAGGCAGAATTAAGGATTAAGAACTTCAAAATTGACTAATTCTATGCAAAAAAGACAAGAAATTTTAAGAATAGGGGTTAACTGATAGAGATTTATATACAGTATGTAGATATTAACAAATACCGAAATACATCAAGTACATGTAAGGAGAGAAGAAGAAAATAGAGCAACTGTATGTGTTCTGAAACAGGTTTGGCAAGGGGAGAATGAACAGAAACATGTAATGAAGTTTGAAGTTTGAAGTTTTATTTATTCCACATTTTATATAGAAAAACAGTTTACCTTTATATTCTTTTTTTAATTTTTTTTTATACAGATGTATATTATTATAAGAGTAGATTTCATTATTAATCTTGTCCTTATTTTGATATTTCTTTAGTTCATGAATTAGTAGTTATGTGTAATTTTGTTGTATTAATATTGTAATGCGCATTGGTATTTTCTTCGAAGATGAAATGCGCTATAGAAACCTAGGTTATTATATTATTATTAAGAAGAAAAATGAAAAATTAAAGATTTCAAATCAAATATAATGTACGGAAAATAAGTATAAAATTTTGAAATATGTAAATATAACGGGCAAGGTAGTACAATGTAAAATGTGAGGTCAGAAAAGAAAGAGAGAAAGAAAGAGGCCAGAAAAGCAGAGACAGGAGTGGAGATAGAATCTAATATTAACAAAAAATATTAAATGGAGTAAGATAAAAACTTAGAGGATAGCTGGAGACAACATGATAGCTAGGCATGTTGATCAATTGTTGAGGTTAACAATAGCGCTACCCTGTCAGAAGTACAATGGAAGAGTCTTCTGGCTGGAATGCTCCCCAGGGAGTGGAAAATGTGCATACATTGTGTACATGTACGAGTAAGCCTGAATCTGATGACCGGGGTAATAATATTTCTGTACAGCTATTAGGCACATTGTTGTATCGATGTATTGGGCGCTATATAAAAGCGGAATATTATTATTAATATTACAATGGAAGAGTCTTCATTCTCCCTCCACTATCTCCTCACACACAGTCAGCAGGACTCGGCCGACAAGACCAAGAAGAGACGGAAGAAGGTGAACGGACCGAAACGACGCAGCATCTCCCACAGCCCTAGCCGCAAGTCCCAGAAGAACTCCCACCGGGCGGCGCTGACCAAGGGAGGTAAGCACAGCGGGACAGACAGCGACCCTGAGCGATTGATGAACCGCAGAACAACGGAACGGACGAGGCAGAGGTCACTTACAAGCAGCCTCTCAGATCCTACACCTAGTAAGTAATTGCTGTGGATTTATGATACAGTCAAACCTGTCTATAGCACCTGCCCAAGGGAAACACAAAAAGTGTGTATCTTTGTAGATAGGTTCCTTTGGTACATGATTCAATGAGAAAACATTTTCAAAGGGAAACAACAAATGTGGCCTTTGTAGACAGGTTCCTTTGGTAAACGATTCAATGAGAAACCATTTTCAAGGGAAAAAAAAAATGTGGTCTTTGTAGACAGGTGGGCTTTGTAGACAGGTTCCTTTAGTACATGTTTAAATGAGAAACCATTTTCAAGGGAAACAAAAAATGTGATCTTTGTAGACAGGTGGTCAAACTCACTAAAGCAGGTTTGACTGTATTTGCTTCTGCAACACTATCTAACTCAAACCTTAGAGCTAATTACTAAAACCTGATTGGAACCCTAACCCTTATCTAATATATTTGACAAAATAAACCCCAGACCAAATGTAGCAGTACCAAATGTCAATTCTCGATCCAATCACTGTAAATGCCAGAATATCTTTTACTTCAGATATTTTTGCAACTGACAGGGACACAGATATTTTACACAGGCTACTTGCTACTTGTCCACTCATGCATTATTACCTCTTTTTTTTCTCTTTCATTTTCATAGTTATTATTGGTGACCATGGATCTATTTGCAAAAGGTACAGAAATAAAAACCCTTGCGAAAGTAACAGCTTATAGAGTAAATTATGGATGCTAGGCTGACTCAATATAGATGACAAGAAATTAATATGGAAATGGGAATTAGACAAATTGGTCATAAAAAATTATAATTTAATTAGTTTATTACACAAAAATCTTGATTCTTCAAATCTTTTCAACATTTAACTCAGACGATTTGCACCCGATGTCTGAACACACTACCAATTTTGCATCTCACGGGGACCGTCGGAGAGACAGTACACCAAAGAGGTAAGTTGCAATTATTGCTTCCACCTTGCAATCTTCATCTTTCAACATGTGTGTTTCTTAAATAGTGAAAATGTCTTTCATGTCTCTACCCCTCATATCATTCTTAATAGTTTACTCATGATTTTGTTTTCCTGTTTGGCATATTCATATGTGTAAATATTGTGTGTGGTAAATGTGAAATTTGTATTAATGAGTTTCCTGAATGTACTAAAATTTGCATACAAGTCTTTTTTCCCCTTTTAATTCATTCACTTGAATTAATTATTATTTTTTTAATAGACTTTTATTAAATGTGTTTTTTTAAAGTGGTGCAGAGATGGTGCTGGTTAAGTTTTATGTTTGAAAAAGTCTTAATGTTTTTAAATACTATGGTGATTAAAGATTTGTTTGTACCTACATGTCCTCAATTGTATAATACATTTAACTTTGCCCCTTTTGTTTTCCAAATATATTTTCTTATGTTTGCACTTGGGCTAAAAAGCCTTTTTATTTTTTGAAGGTTGGGGGGAAATGACTGATTTGATTCTAAAAAATAGCTGCCTCAAATCCTATCTCATACGATTTCATACTTTTTTCCTTTCCTTTCTTTTCTCTCACATCTACACTCTTCGTTGTAACTAATTTCCTTGTTCTGTCGCTCCATCTTTTGTGTGTTGTTGAGTGCAGTTTTCAAACCATGCAGCAGCACCTTCTAGCCCTCTCACAGCCTCACAATGCTGGTACGTTCATACTATCATTCCATCACTCAATCAAAATCATATTTCAATAGACCATTTTCGTAATGTAACCAAACTTAAAGGCCGTCTGTACTAGTTTGACTAGGAGGGATTAGACCACACAGGAAGGTCACTGACAGGTGGCTTTCTCATTAACTCAGCTCTCAATTAACATGAGGAAAAGAGGATCATGGGGGACCAATGGTCACCGATTAGGCATTGTTTTCTATATAGAGGGAGCAAGTAGCTACAAGTAGTACAGTGGGCCTTTAATGCATGTATTTCAAGAGTTAGAATGCTTATTACATATGTTACTTGTTGTTAGGTCAGGCAAGATATAATGTTCGTCCTACCTGACAACAACTAATGTATGCAGTTTGTATTCTGACTATTGAAATACAATAATTCATATCAGATGAATGCAATAATTTGTCTTGGGTCGCGTATGCATTAGATTTGGTTACATTACAAAAATGGTCAGTTCCTCAGCTCCTCTTTAAGGTTGTTTTGCATAATAAGTGGAATGAAAAGCTGAGTTCAGAATTCAAAAGGCATGATGTAGTTGAATTATAAGTTTTTATTTGACATAGCAGTATCTATCTGAATGAAATTTTCAGTACAATAAGCCCAATCAAGGTCCAATGTACTAGTACCAGTACACTTATTTACCAGTTCCATATCCTAACAATGGGGTGATACCTGTACACTGTATGTGAAAAAAAATTGGGAAAACAAAATTATGATTATTTTACCAACATCCATTTTGTGTTCCGGACATATTCTTTCGTGCCTCAAAAAAAGAAACAAAAGAAAAGGGTGCTCTATTCTAGCATTTTTGTGCTTGTAAATAATACTGATGTTAATGCAGTGGAAAGAGTTTGATTTTCTTTCATTTTCTCTCTTTTACACACACTCTCTCTCTCTCTCTCTCTCTCTCTCCCTTTCTCTCCCTCTCTATCATCAATTCAATTTTTGATGTAAAAATGAAAATTTCTTGCAATATACTTGTTTTTATGTACGAGATAATTTTTGTACCAGTCACATACATACTTGCACATCTCTTTGGGAGCTTTTCAAGGCTTAATTGCTCTCTCCTCTAATCAGTGTAATTTGTTCTATTCATCGGATGACCGCTTCACTGAGTTTATAACAATTTTTCTTTGTTGAACTTCTTCTATCAGGAGTCGCTCGATTGGCAGTATGCAAGAACCTTCCTACCTTAAATCCAAAGTAGGAAGCCCGATCAAGAAATCAAACTCCTTCACTGGAGGACGGGTAAGTACTCTCAAAATAGGGTGGTTCATGGTTACATACTGGGTAATACATTATTTGTGTTGCATGAAAAATAATGCTACGTACATACATGTATATTCCAAATCCAATCACATATTAGTCAAAACATATGCTTTCACATGATTGGTAATAAGAGCTTCAATTTCATTTTTTTAGAGGGGGGCATTTCCAATACCTTTATACCTTTAATACTTAAATATATATTATTTATACCTGTTAAAAACTGTATTTCTGTTGTCTTTCCAATTCTAATCTTCAGAGAGATTCCAGTGTTTCCTACCAAGTGGTTGAACTGAACGAGTTACTGCAACGGCGGCAGTCTCAGAAAACACCCATCCCAGTCAAGAAAATTGGTTTCTGGGTAGATTTCTAGCCCTCTATATTTGTCATCATTGGCTTACTGAGTTGCTAGTTACACCCGTAGCTAGTAAAGAGGAGATAGGTGCGCCACAGGAAGTCACATTCATTCATAGGTCAGATTTATGGGTCACAGAAAACACCCATCCCAGTCAAGAAGATTGGTTTCTGGGTAGATTTCTAGCCCTCTATCATTTGTCATCATTGGCTCTCTGAGTTGCTAGTTGCACCCATAGCTAGTAAAGAGGAGATAGGTGCGCCACAGGAAGTCACATTCATTCATAGGTCAGATTTATGGGTCACAGAAAACACCCATCCCAGTCAAGAAGATTGGTTTCTGGGTAGATTTCTAGCCCTCTATCATTTGTCATCATTGGCTCTCTGAGTTGCTAGTTGCACCCATAGCTAGTAAAGAGGAGATAGGTGCGCCACAGGAAGTCACATTCATTCATAGGTCAGATTTATGGGTCACAGAAAACACCCATCCCAGTCAAGAAGATTGGTTTCTGGGTAGATTTCTAGCCCTCTATCATTTGTCATCATTGGCTCTCTGAGTTGCTAGTTGCACCCATAGCTAGTAAAGAGGAGATAGATGCGTCACAGGAAGTCACATTCGTTCATAGGTCAGATTCATGGGTCACTGGAGAAGTTCCTCTATGAATTCCTTTTGCATTTTACAATAATTTCATAGATTTCAATATGTTGAAAAAATGTTTTCCAGAGCCTGCATCTTAAATATTTGACTTGAGTCATGGTCCTTATATTTTTCTAATTTGACAATTCAATAAATATGTACTAAACAAAAACAAAGAAGAAAAACGGTCTTTCTGATTTGTGTAGAGAACCATTAAAATCTCATAACTTTTAAATATTTTTTATTCTTTGTTAGAGTCCTTCAAATATGAGCAAACCGGTTTCTCTCTAATTTTTTACGTTTTGTCAAATCAACTTGATGGTAGGGTGGACTTTCCCTTTAATATGTGCATGGTTAAGTCAGAAAAAAATTATTCAGCAAGATTCACTGGGTCCACAGATTTAAAGGCAGGGTATTTTACTGACATCGCTTTCACTGCTGTAAAGCATTTTTAAATAAATTGCTCCATGTTTCAGTGAAGGCATATATAGAGTAATTTCCGGTTCCCAAGCATCATCATGTGCAGACGGAGTTGGTGATGCATTTTGGGATGTGGCTGTTGACACATATTGCGAGCAACAGAGGGCAGTATACATAATTCTGAAGTAGTTTCAGTAGAATACCCTGCCTCTAAGAACTGTGACTGATTTTTCTGATGGTTCTGAGAAATTTGAAAAAGATGTTAAAGGTAAAGACCAGTATTGGAAATGCCCCAATTTCAAAAAATGAAATGGAAGCTCTTATTACCAATCATGTCAAAGAATATGTTTTGACTAATACATGATGATAAAAATTTTGCCGGGAAACCGCCTACTAATTGATATATTTGGTACATTAGTTTAACTACATGGTCTGTGAGAGATAAATGCACGTGTCGCGCACATGTGCGAATAGTCCCATATACATCTTTCTGTGTACAGTGCTTGTAACTTTACAGACTGGGCCAAATTTCTTATCATTTTGATGATTCCAGAACCTTGCAGTACACACCAATACTTATATGCTAGATGATCAACCTTTTCTGATCGATTCCACAACGTTTCTTTCACAATGCAATCGCATGACCATAACTGGTCTTAACCTTTAAAACTGTAAATTATGCTTGATCATTATGCAGTGTATACATTTTTTCTGTAAAAATATCAAAAGATACCAAGTTACATTTCTTTTTATTTAGAAAAGAGCGGATTGAGTACAACCTTGTTAGGGAATTTTAATTGAGGTAGTGCAGTGACAGAAAATAATGAAATATATCTGCAAGTACAGTTGAAAATGTATAATATTTCAAACATTCTGTGATTTTTTTTTAATGAGGTGTGGGCATGCAATGATATGTAGTTTCTTTGTTCTAGAAATGAAAAAAGATATTGCTCACAATATTTGTACCATAGATTTTTTACTATCTAATTTTCAAAATATTTCATTTTTTCGCGTTGTGAATTGACTTGAAATTCAATACTGTCATGGGGCTTATCATTCTAGGCAATTTGATCGTTTATTGCCGTTTGCTTTGCTGCAATTTTTTTTAAATCACCTTATGAGCTGCAAGGATACATCGTGATGCTACTTCAAATTTAGTTGAGTGGTAGCGATCTTAGAGGCTGTTATTTGCAATGTCACAGACTGCACACGTTCAAATGTACTATGCATAATTTGATTCAAATTTATTCCACTTCATATCAATTGTTTGCAAAATGAAGAACATAGTTGACAAAGTAAGTTCAAAATTATGAAATGAAACAGGAACCTACTGGAAAGCATAGCTTGTTTATGCAAGTTCCCAAGAATAAATATGATATGAACATTTGGGACATTTTGTCAAGTGAAGGCTCATATTTTGAACATACATGTAGTATTATAAATGTATGGTATGGAACTACATGAACTAACAGAGATGACAAAATAGTTTTGGGTGATTGGTATACTTTAAAGATACACAATGTTTGTATAGACACCAGACAGTATGAACAACTACGAGGAAATTGACATACGTAGTCTTTCTGTAATACCAAAGGTTGAAGTAGCCTACCAAATATACTTTGATCCATTCCACTGTGTTATCTACATAAGATAACATTTGTATGATTGTAAGTATGTATTGAAGTGATGAATTGATGCTTAATTATGTTGTTTAGTATGAAATGTGTGAATATCGGGATAACATTGAGATTCATCCTCTCTGACACAGTATGAGCTCTTTATTGTGAGTCATAAGTTGGGTATTTTACTTTATGTTTGCCAGTGTGTGTCTATGTATTTTATTGATCAACTAGTATTCTATGCGTAATGTAGGGAGAACACCTTTTGAAAATTCTTGCCAATTTAATGACTATCGATTGCAATTATTCACAAAGGGATCTAAGTGTTGCCAATTTGTTGATCATCAACACTTTACAAAGGGTGATAATTCTTTTTACCTGATATTTGTCTGTTTACGATATTTTATCAGGTTATGATTATTTACATGAACTTGTAGGTGATAATTTGCCTAATTATTAATTGTTGTAAAAAGGCAATATAGTCTATTATATTCTGTGGACATTTATTGGCAAATTTGATTTAGGGTAGAGCTAAAAAAAAGAGGAATTATAGGATATTAGATAAATTAATTTTATTCTTGAAATATATTTTACATATTTATACTGTAGTACCTTCATCCCGTCCAAAATATAATAACCAAAGCAAGCTTTTTATCTCTTTGTTTTCAAAGTTTTTAAGAAAATGTAAATATGGTTTATGTATATTTAAAGTGTATAGCTATCTCCTTTTTTAGATATGTAAATGAGCAGGAATTCAGAAAGAGGTCATTTGTTTAGCTGAAAGGTCACGTGCATGTACAGTCCGGGTACATTAATAATTTTTTCGTTTTAACAGGCTCAACTTTTTAATGAATATTTATGAATGCCCTGTGAAGCAATCTGGATTCCCCAATTTATGTCAATTTGTAGTGCTGGCCTTCGTGTGCAGTTTACTAGCAAGTGTCTTCAGCTTTTAAAGGGACACAACAGATATGAACTTTTAAAAAATTCTCTGTAACCTTAACATGTAAACTTTATTCTGTGGGGAGTGAACAATACAAGTATGTGAGAAAGAGGAAAAAAAAGTACATGTACATGTAGGTCTTCGGTGGTAAGCGCTTTATAAGTAACGTTTTTATTATTATTATTATTATTATTATTTATTATCTTTTTACTCCAGCATTGTCAGCAGATATATAACAATTTTGTATGCTCTCATTTTTGTTAGTCAATTTGTGAAGTGCACTATATAAAGAAGTGAAAATATTTCCCACCTCTACCAACAAATCTATAAAAGAGAGATGATGGCGATTTAAAAAAAAAAGTTTAAGATATATAATTGCTATTTGCTTATTTTAAAGTTGTGTATTTGTGTTGTACATGTATTTATTGAAAGAGAGCTGATGGCATTAATATTCTTTCATAATTAGGTGCTGCCTTTTTATGAATAAATCAAACTTTTCGTGCTGTGAAACTAAAAGGAATTGTGTTACTTTCTTTACTGACGGTTGCTTAATCCAGAGTGATTGAATTGTGTTTATTTGTGTCAGTGGAGAGAGAGAGAGAGAGAGAGAGAGAGAGAGAGAGAGTGGTGTCAACATGTTTATGTATTATCTTAACAGCTAGACAGATTGAGCTTTAACGCATCTGAATGAATAGGTAGAGTTGATAACTTGTAGTAACCTAATTTTCTCCGTAAAAGCCAGTTATTGATAGAAAAAGGGGGGGGGGGTGCAGGGTATCATCCTTCCTCCTGACTTTCCATTCAAAATTCTGTCTCTCTTTGTTTCTCTCTCTCTCTCTCTCTCTCTCTCTCTCTCTCTCTCATTCACTCTCTTCCTGTTCAGAATCTGGGATATTATAACGGTTTTAGACAGCCAAAGAGAGGATTAAAAAACAAATGAAACAGATGTAGCAGTGTCTTTTTGATATTTCACAGGTGAACAATTTTCACTTGAATATTTATAGCTGTCTTTGACAAAACGCACATGACTGTAAATGTAATGGACAAATTAACACTGCTGTTCACAATACACATCGAAATTAACACTAAACCATTTCCTTAAGTTCAAGAAGCAAACACTCCAACAGTGGTGTAAAATTCACCTTAATATATTCGGTAAAACCTTCAGACAACCTTCAGGGGGAGGGGGGGGGGGGGCGGGCAGAAATTTAAAAAAAATCAGCATCACCACCACTCTAACATATTTCATGCAGGCCCCGCGGAACGTTTTTCAAAGTCGGGGGGGGGGGGGGAGGGGCTAAAGTATTTACGATCAGGTAGAACGAAGCAAGTGGAGAGTAAATTAGCGTGGGGTTGCAGGGGCAGGGGTTTTAGGCATATTTAATTACGGTCAGATGAGCATATTTTGGTACCATATTTGTGACACTGGCAGGTCACTAATTGGAGTGGGTTCCATGAGGCGGAACCCCCAGAAGCTCAGGAGTTTTTAGGCATTACATTACGATGAGCATCCAGGAGCCCGCCTTGAGGGCCTTGGTGGGGTCCAGGGGGCAGAGCCCCCGGAAGGTCAGGGGTTTTAGGCATTTAGCCTAATTACAGCCGTCTCTGAACCGATTTTGATCAAACAAAGATGATTTTGGCATTTCAATTATATGTCCTTTCAAATTTTTGTGTAGTGCCCTCTGCATCAAAACTCACACATTCCTTTAAAAGTCGCTTATGACGTTTATGTAAGCCAAACGACGAGATTAAAGGTCAAGAAAAAGAGACAGATAGATATAACAGGTAAAAGAATGGTATGATCACTTCTAATCATAACTAATGAATAAAGATTACAAACTGAACACTCATCATATTTGATACACAACAACTTAATTGTACTGTAACAGTCAAATAAGTCTTCAATTTCAATTTATTCATGTTTCCAACAAAACATTACAAATCAATTATAAGCAATTAAAACAAATTTAAGAAATACATGTTGGAAACGGAGGGGTCCACTAAAAAGCAATGCTTGTACAAATGTGAACACCTATAGGAATAATGAGTAATTAAATTAACTACGAAAGGAACTACAAAATAGGGGAAAGAAAAGGGGGATGCCAACAGAGACGAGAAAGGGACAAGACAATGCTTTACATGACAAAGATAGAAGAACACGGTCATAATGCAAAGAGTAGACGATGACAAAAAGAAGTGAGAGATCCGGGGTACAGAAAATATTACAAAATGATGAGTTGCATTTGGGGTTGAGAAGAAGATAAGGAAAGAGAAATGCGCATTAGAAAGAAAATAAACATGAGAAGACACAATATGATATATATCAAATTACATTTTGAGTCAGCGAGTAGAGAATGGTCTTGTGTTCAACAACAAAAACAACGACATAAACTTCAATGAGGTTTATAAGATTGTAATAAAAACAATTTTTTTCTTTCTTAAAGATATTAATCGATGGAGCATTTTTTATTTCATCACTTAAAGAATTCCTAAACTTCGGACCTTCATATAAAACTGTTTTTTGAGCTAAGAGGGTCCGCAAGAGATGTACATGACAATCGTCCGAATGTCTTGTCGGTAATTATGAACTGCTTAGATGCGATTATAACCTCTCAAATAAAGGAAATCGGGCAGTATTGATAATTTATTGAACGAGATGATTATGTTGCAAAGCTCGCATTTGTATACAAATCAGCAATGAATAGCGACATCTTAGCAGAAACTGGACAATTCCACCTCAAAATCATCAACATCAATTATAGCAAACACAAGAAATCCTTTTAATAAAAGTCATAAGGTTTCTTTCAAATCTGACCAAACCATAACACATTTTCTATCAATATGATAAAGAAAGCTATAACTTAACAATTTACAAGATATCTATTTAATCATAACTAATGAATAAAGATTACAAACTAAACTTTGATGCTAAAAAGACTCTAAACACACATCATATTTGATACACAAAACTTAATTCTACTTTAACAGTCAAATAAGTCATAGATGCGATTAACCTCTCAAAAGAAGGAAATCGGGCATTATTGATATCTATTTATTATATATTAATTATTCATGTCTTCTTAACAAAAACAGGGTAGGTGTATACAAGAATGGAAAGACAGTCTATCAAATGAAAATTGTAAATACAAAATTAAAAACATACGATTCTCAAAACAAAATACAAATTCGAAAACTATTTATTACTCGATATTGATAAATCACATAGCTATTAAATACACGAAAATCAGAATAAGCAATAATTGATTTGAATTAAATTGGACTGAATTGCAATATTTCTTATTAACTGAATTTCTTTCACTCTTCTTGTGGAGAATAAACAAAAGGCACTTGGTAAATAAAGATATATAAAGATCTCTAAAGAAGCAAGTTAAAAAACAGGTTTCAAAATCACCATGGATAGCTTATCCGTTCATATTCATTAAAACATTACATCTGGAGCTGAAGCAATTTGTCTTCTTTTATTCCACCTTCAGGTTCGCCTCATATTTTCTTATTTTTTAACAATTTACATTGTAACCATGCCCTTTTTCTTTTACACAATCACTCATCATGACACCTGCCTTCCCAGTATTAATGCAGAGTCAAACGATTACATAATTGTGTTTTTTCAGATGTCTTAATCAATGAATTTACAGGATACTAATCAATGGGATATTCAAGTACATGGTCATTGATTTGAAACGAGGCTCAACACTCACAGACGCCTTGGGACAAGCCCATAGCCCCCCCTTCTTTTGTTGTTGAAATTTTCACACAGGGCTCATGCATACAGACCTTAGAAAGTCCAATCCGGACCCCTCCCAAAAAGTTGTGTGGTGCCCTGTTTAAAGTAAAATGCAGGTATTGCCCTGCTTTTGAAATGCCCTAGCTTGTCCTGAAGCAATTGGCTTACTAGCATACATGTATATGACGTGGTACGACTACATTTGTATTTACTATAGCAATTGAGTAAACATCTACATACCCTACCAAGAGGATTCCATGATCGTGAAGGAGACTAGAAACAGTTACATGAAGACCGAAACTGAAGTCAAGATTCTGTACACTTATCAAGCGAAAAAGGGTGTTATTAAACAGAAATAATTTAATCCACATTACTAATCATGGTAAAAACCTTCTATTCTGCAGTGACTGAAATGTTGGTGTACAATTATGTCCAACTGAATAGTCAATGAATTATTTATTTAAATTATATTTAAAATAATGCCTCCGGCACTACCTCTGCTAGTGTGGCTAGACAGTTATTATCCATTCCTATTTCAGTTGCTATCATCCGAAGAATACTCGTCACTGTCTTCGTCCTCGTCACTATCTTCGTCCTCGTCTCCGGCGCCCTCGTATTCGGCGCCCTCGTCTCCAGCGCCCCCGTCCCCGGCGACCCCGTCTTTGTTGGCCCCGTCTCCAACAGCCCCATCTTCGGCGCTTCCGTCTCCTGTGCCCCCGTCTCCGGTGCCTCCGTCTCCAGCGCTCCCATTGGCGTTGTTATCGTCCGTGTTCTCTTTCTCATCCTCGTCAACTCTATCCCGTTTCGGTTTCTTGGCGAGTCTCTTCTGTGTGATAGCCTTATTAGAGAGTGGCATATTTTGACATTCAACCAAGGGGTTTCTGCGCTTTATGGCTTTACTGATTTTGCCCCCGTCTCGAACCACCCCGTCCCCGTCTCCGACATCATCGTCTCCGACATCCTCGTCTCCGGCGCTCTCATCGTCACTGTTCCCTTCCTCATACTCGTCAACTTCATCTCGTAGTCTCTTCCGTATCATATCCTCAGTGAGTGGCATATTATGAGCTTCAACCAAGGGGTATATATGCTTTATGGCTTCCTCGATATTGCTTTCAGATTGGGCTGTTATCAAGAAAAGAAAAATACACAAGATACTAGATTACATTAACTGTGTTTAAGAAAACAAAATGTTACAAGGTGCCAGGTGTGATTGAGTATAATATGGATAGAGGTGTCGTGGTCGAGTGGATATGTCACCGGACTGTGGATCACAAAGTCCCCAGTTCAAGTCCCGCCGCGGCACTAATGTCCTTTGGCAAGACATTGATCTACATTTGCCACTCTCCACCCAGGTGTTAAAATGGGTACCCGGTAGGATGCGAAAGCTAATGTGGTTTGATTAGCAATGGCGCTTGTAAAATGGCGACTGGCTGGAATGCTCCCCAGGGAGTGGAGAATGTGCATACCTTGTGTGCGGGTAAACCTGAATCCGATGACCGGGGTAATTATGTTCTGCGCCTAGAAACAAAGTATTAGGCGCATTATAAATGTGAGCTATTATTATTATTATACTGCAGGGCAAACTTATTATTCTACGATATACTTCTATTTGTGAAATATAAAAAATACAGCCTGTTGAGAACAAGGCAATGTGACATGCATGGATGACATTTTTCGCAAACAAATGCTGAAACAAAAGTAATCTAAATCAATACCTAATAGGATACAACTAAATAAGAAAAAGACCAACGTATCAGATATAGCAATCCACTCGCCGACATGTAAGCGGAAGATCAATCTTTACAGCATCTGGCAAATATCAACACTGAAATCCCCCCCCCCCCCCCCCCCCCACTCCGGGAACGGAGGGACCGCATGCGTGTTCCCAAAATCTCTGGCTCGTAACAAAGAAAAATATCTGCCCGAATTGACTTTACACACCGGACTTGGGCTAAAAAAGGGGGGGGGGGAGGTGCTGAAAAGGCTTGTATAACAAAAGAAAATATCTGCCCGTATTGACTTTACACACCGGACTTATGCTGAAGGGGGGGGGGGGGGGGGTGATGGGAACACGCATATGCGTACCCTAAATAACACTGAGTGAGGGGGGGGGCGGGACTGAAATATTTCGCTTTCCCACCATGTTAACATGTAAGGCCACAGATCCTTTACTTGCCTACATTGTCCATATCTAAATTAATAGTCCACGTGCAATCTTGTCTAATGGTGAAGCGCTATAGCAATCGCTCTATTTTGATTGACCATTTGGTACAAGGATTACGCTACCCCATATAGACCCTTTTTAAAACTAATGTCCTACGCCAAACCTCCAATATGATTACACAAATTGTCCAATCATTTTGTGCACAGCTAGCCACAACCAAATTACAATTCGATTGCCCACTCTATATGTCTAATAGCTATACAATATTTTGTCAAGAGTCATATCTACTAGACTATACGTCCAACAAGAAAGTGAGAGAGATAACGGAGAGGGGAGCACGGTCACATGCAATCGTTGAAATAGAAGACAGCTGCAGTGGTTTTGCATGTAACTAGATGGAAGAATAGCTAGGCAAACGCCATGAACTGATGGGAAAAGAAAGAGGGGCAGACTAGCTAGGACATGGACTGAAAACATCGAGCAGTAAATGGGAATGTAATTTGAGCAGCGAACTAGAACAGCCAAAGACAGAGAGCTGTGGAGAACCTATGTCTCAAGGTCCATTTCGCCGTCGCCCTAAACTTTGGAACGTAGATAGTTAGATAAAGAGCTTACCTATTACTGTGATTGTACCTGTATGGTAGATCAGAATAGTTGCCTTAAAGGGTTGGTCGAGCTTGTATTTGGCAGCAGGATGGTTCACAGGATCATAGCTGGGTTGAGAATGGAATGGAGTAAGATTTCAAATTCTTGCCAGGACTGGGTTTGGAGAGGGGATGTCGATATATTGCGAGATCTTTAACATGAAGGTGTTACATTAGAGTTTACCTTTACTGAACTGGAGATGGAAGGGCGAATTTCAATGTGGATTATGTACTGTCACTGTCTTTATGCAGTTTATGATAATAATAATGACAAAAAAGTGGATTCTTGCAGACTTGACATTCTCAATAATTACCCCGGTTATAGCATAAACAATTTCTTCCCTTTTTATTAACATATGACCACACATGTAGTTAACCATCTTTTGTCATTAAAATGTGTAGTTTAAATGTCATTTAAGTCAAAATAAAACAACACTCCCTGATATTATCCCCTCCCCAAACTAAAGAAAAAGAAGTTCAAATCAAGTGTATACAACTGACGTAGAAGGAAAATAAAAGATTCTATTTTCCCCGATATTTGACATTTTGAATTCCACTTTAGATTGGTGAGTAAACATTTATAGATTGGCTTAACGAGACAGACCATGATTTCGGGAGAGAACAGAAACCTACCTTGCATCATTTTGATGTTCCTTTGCAAATTCCCAGATATCTATAGCAAACGGCACCAAGTACGTTCCAAAAATATTCACAACCTTGTACTCTAAAAACCGAACCTAAAAGAAAAGGATAGGCAAATAAAAGAATTTACAAGATCAGTTAAACTATGTCCCATTTGCAGCCGACATCAGATTCTGTAGAACTTGGCAGGAACTATAAATATGTCGCGTATGTCCTATCTGTGAAATTTAAACGTCAGCAGTGTCTTAATATTCAAATTATGCAAGAAAACCCGTATGCTTTCTAGACTTCACTGTCAGACACTATTGAGTGACTGACTGATTTTTTTTTCTTTGGTAATAACATATATAAAATGAGCTGTAAAGAGTACATGAGCATTTGTCTACATCAATAACCTAATTATTTTAATGGCCATAATTAAACTAATCGAATCTTTGCGCAGCACAAAACGTACGACCTTGTGGTACAAGGGTCTGAAAAATCAAACTATTACTTAAGTTATTGCAATCACTTAAGTCGATTTGACAACTGATGGTCGTTATTTTCCCACTTAAAGACATTTTCAAGCCCTTTTGTTTTGAGGGAAGTTCTAAATTAATATTATCTTCCAAATGTCGTTGGAATTTAACCTTTTCATTTTTGTTGGCCTGCAAATGGGACATAGTTTCAATGGTTCCAGGCCATAAATTTAATAAACTGGACTTGCAAAAATCAAAGGGGGAATAATTTAATTGAACCAAACATTTTTGCGAGTAGAAGGGAACCAATAATATGTGTGCATGTAGTAAGGAGGAGGGTGAATTCGCAGCCCCCCCCCCCCCCCCATCCTCCTGCAAATTCACCCTCCTTCTTAAAAACAAGAGCACTTTGTCCAGAGCAATATTCATAACGTTAATTGCAAACAGAAAAAATATCATAGTATACTATGGTGAACGTGCTAGTCAGTACATGAGTAATACGTCTTGTCGTTCCGCCCCTCTACACTCTCCATCTCAAAACTGTGACCAAATCCAATAGTTACACGTATTGTCTTTGTATTTAAAAAAATTGCGATAAATGACATATTAGAATCTTACAGTCACGTAGATGGACGGATTTGGTTCAAAACTTGTACGCCTAATCCATATATTTTTTTCATAAAGAAAGACATTGGTGAATTTCATCAGAACCAGCAACCCAACGCCACTACCGCTTCTGTGACATGCCAATGCCACTATCGTCTCCAACATGCATATACACTCTCAAATAAACAAGAGAATCTCGTGCAAAGCATCATTGATTTCAAAATTTCACAGACTTCACAAACATTTAGAACCAAAATAATGATACAGGGAAACGTCTGTCATTACCAACTATCATGATCGCCTCTTAAAATCTTGCAAAAATTCAGATTAATAAGTCACAAATTGTTTGTTTGTTTGTTTGTTTGTTTGTTTTTTTATTTCCGTCATATAAAAAGAATATAAAATTAAATAAAACATATACATAATATACAAGTTAGATAAGCAAGACAAATTGTATGGCATTGAATTGGAAAACAATAACTGTAAGAACGAAAGAATGTAAAGCGAAATAATTTCATGGGCACCAGAAAGGACAAGTAGATGAAGTAGTAGAAAATGAAGAAGAAGAAGACAAAACAAAACACAACAAGATGAACTATGGTATTTAAAAAAAAATTACATTAAGGTCTCACAGTATTATTTTCATCAGTTGTGAAATGTATCATTCAAATAAGGACAGAGATGTGAAATTGCGAATTGGTTGAGGAATGCTGTTGCATAACTTAAATACGTTTGCAAAAATCAAATAATTTTATTGAGGATTTTAAATATCATTACTCTATACTATGGAATTTCTGGCGAGATTTTGAAAGTCTCTCACCGCAGTATATTTCATGCATTGAAGGAACAACAAAAAAGGTAATTGAGGTAAATAAGAGGACACCTTTTTTTTTTTTTGGTCTCGATATTTGAAAATTTGACATTTTGCTCCGTAAAGGGGGGGGGGGGGGTAAGTTCAATTTATTTAGGTCAGTCAGTGCCATAATTTTTTTTTTTTTTTTTTTAATTAAAAAAAAAAATCACAAAAGGGGGGGTTTTGGTAAAAAATACACACATAACAAAAACTCAAGGGGGGGTTAACCCCCAAACACCCCCCTCCCCTGCGTACGGGCCTGTCTGCATCAGTGTACACACCCAAGTATTCAAGAACTTCACTTGATTGATTGCATGACCTTTGATATTTATATTAAGTCTGTGATATTTGTTTAGCATGTGTCTGTTGGTTTCCAATGAGCGTGCTCATGGTTTTGGCATTCTGCTGACCCACCTGTCACTGTATATGGGTTTATATGAAAAAAAGTAAGTTTGCATTCATGAAATACAGAGGTTAAACCGTTAATAAAGATTATGAATAATAGGTAATTGCTCGGAAATACAGATGCAACTCAAGTGACGTTCCATTGATCCCTATTCTTGTAAATTTTCCAAGGAGGCACTCAACATTTACCAAATGAAAAGCTTTTTTTAATATCTTCAAAACATGCACCAGTAAACTTTTCCTCGTCAATAACATTCAACCATTCATCCGTGACTTTAATCAATGCCGTAGAAGTAGAGTGTTTTGGACGAAAATCCGATTGCTCTGCTAGAAATACGTTGTTTCTATTCAAGTGCTGCACAAGCTGTTTTTGAACAGCGACGGATCCAGGGATTGGGGGGGGGGGGGCACAGTGGGCACGTCTAAACACCCCCTTGGGCGGCCAAGTGAAAAAAAGGGGAAAGGGGGGGGGGAGAAGAAGAAGAAAGAAAAAAAGTAAAACAGTAAAACGGCGCGATTTTTGGAAAATCCTGGAGCCGCCACTGGGTCAAACACCCCCCTTGGCAAGAAGCAAGATCCGCCCCTGAGTTCTTCCTGCTATATTTCATAGCTTCAGTGATTGATTGATATAATTTGTTATAGGAAGACTGCCATAGATGAGGAACAATAACATTTTGGTATATGAGTTTTTAAGTTTCTTATGACGGAGAAATGAAAATATGCGGCCAACTTTTTCACAAAGATGATTTACAATCATGTACATCCCATTTTAGTTCTGCATCAGTGTACACACCCAAGTATTCAAGAACTTCACTTGATTGATTACATGACCGTTGATATTTATATTAAGTCTGTGATATTTGTTTAGCATGTGGCTGTTGGTTTCCAATGAGCGTGCTCATGGTTTTGGCATTCTGCTGATCCCCCTGTCACTGTATATGGGTTTTTATGAAAAAAAAGTAAGTCACGGTATCATCACCGTACAAATAAGGTTTGCATTCATGAAATACAGAGGTTAAACCGTTAATAAAGATTATGAATAATAGGTAATTGCTCAGAAATACAGATGCAACTCAAGTGACGTTCCATTGATCCCTATTCTTGTAAATTTTTCAAGGAGGCACTCAACATTTACCAAATGAAAATCTTTTTTTTTATATCTTCAAAACATGCACCAGTAAACTTTTCCTCGTCAATAACATTCAACCATTCATCCGTGACTTTAATCAATGCCGTAGAAGTAGAGTGTTTTGGACGAAAATCCGATTGCTCTACTAGAAGTACGTTGTTTCTATTCAAGTGCTGCACAAGCTGTTTTTGGACAGCGACGGATCCAGGGATGGGGGGGGGGGGGCACATTGGGCACGTGCCCCCCTCCCCCGGCCAGAAAAAACTGTTAAAACCAGCCCCAAATTCGCCAAAAATTAATGACAAACAGGGATGTGCTCTGATCACTGCTGAATGGTTTCAATTAATGTGTTATTTCATCTCATTTTATTAAAACAGTAAAAAACTATTCTTGAATTTGGAAACGACAAATAACCACTAATGGCCGGCTCACATAATTACCGGCAAACGATGGAATCACAACGATTTATTTTTTGCCGCCACAAAATTTTCAACATGCTGAAAATTTGCCGACGGACGCGACTGATAATTTCGGCCGTCTGAGGTCGCTAGCAAAGTCGTCAGCGACAATTGAAGGCAACACACGATGAGTGGCGGGAAATTTAATATTGCAATTCGTAGCTGTAGCTTGCGGTACCCCCCTCCCCTATTCGTCACAGTGTGAGCCGGCCTTTAGACACCAGTTTGCTGTTCAGCCTTTCTCTCATATGATACAATTTAATGGGGAAGTTGCCATGGTTGAACATCTATAACTCAACGAAGATCATGTGATAGGGCCTACTATCAATGTGAATTATCAAGTTGTGCCAAGTAATGTTACTCAAACTACAAGATCTTGACCCAAATGTTTTCCTTCAAATACAGTAAAACCTGCTTGACGACCAATTCTTTGCATGAAAACCGCACTATTTTGTTTACCTTGAAAAGTGTGTCCCATGCAACCTGTGTTGAAAGACCAAAGACCGCCTTTTGAATACTTCACGCTTGTGCGGCTATTTTACACAGGTTCTACTGCATGTACTTACAAAACGTTTTTTTCTTCTTCTAATGGCCATTATAATGTGCTATGATTTAAAAACAGTTGCAAGTGGTAGTTATTTAATACCTGACTGCTAAGAAAGCATATGCTTGTTAGTTAGCAACCAGAGGGCCGAAGTGACATAATAACAGTGAGCTTATCAATTTACACTTGTCGTTTTGAATACACACATACTACCAAACGGTGACGAAGAAAAGTACAAACTCCAGGTCGCTTTTGATGAATATTAAATATTGATTTAAACCAAGTATGCCTAATTAGGTTGACAACCACTGGGGGAATTAATCCATTATCTGTCAAGATATCCGCTCTATAACAAGGTATATAAGAAAGAAAAACTAGATTGCTTCATCGATAGACAAATCAATATTGACCGACCATTGTAAAATCTGATTTAAAATGTCATTATCGCTTGTTATTATAAGCCTATCGTGTAAACCCTTGTTATTTCATGCACAGTGCACAGCGGTTTTCCATAGATGTGAAAATTCTCACCACAGTCATGTTACATGTAAGATCAAATCCAAATTACTTCATATCCAAAAATATAATTCAAATGTAATATTCTAACAAATTGAGAGTTGTTACTTACATTAAAGTCTATTTTATTTAATTCCCTTGCACATTTCCTTGCTGTCTGCTCTGCATGTTCTTCACTGTAAACAAACAAGAAAACAGTTATGATACAAACAAGTTAAGGCTATGATTAAAACCAGCAGTTGAGAGGTGCAAAGCATCATTCAATTACTGTTCAAACTCCTTTATTTCTTCCTGTAAAAATCCCATGATATGCAACACATATTGACGTCTGTCTAATGTATATTTTATCATCCTCTTTAAGTGACATTTTAAACACTTTTCCTTGGTTATCTTTCCTTTACCTTTTGCGACATGCTAAGATCCACCCCATGAAAAATCCTTTAAAAAATCATCAAAAATTCATTCAATTACAATGCTCATGTACATGTATGGAAGTAGTTGTCTCAGGGACCTTAAAGGTAAAGTCCATCCTGATATTAAGTTGTTTTCAATTGAAGCAGACGAGTGAGACGAGCAGGTCCGTGAAAGTTTGAGCTAATTCCATATAAAATAAGAAAGCTACTTATTTTTGAAGTTGCGATCCGTTAAACACGAATCGGCAAAATGAGATGTCGAAACTGCATTATACCCTCGACGTCTCGGGGCACAGTGCAGTTTCAAGATCCTCTTGGGTTACCATTTCAACGTTGCCCCTCAATGGAGTCTATATGTGTATAGTATTTACCTATCGTTGCCTCTGATGATGATTTTGCCTGAAGGATATATGGTAGCAGTGGCAGGCGGATCATGGAACTTCTTGATCAATCTCTGTAATAGACAAAGATATTTAATTGTTATTGGACAAAAACAAAACAAACAAACAAACAAAGCCTAATAATTTCGCACTTTAGATATCGTTTAGTACATGTAAATTATGGATGTGTCAGTAGAAATTATAAAAGCGCTTCTACATGTAAGAGTCCTGCCAAAGAAGAACTTAAAATGGCATTATTTCCTTCATGTAGTACCTGTCATGGGTCTGGAAAAGAGACCCTGGATCTACTAAATACGATGTGATTTTGTTTCTGACATTTGATTTAAAAGCTTGATGATACAACCTTCTGTTTATAGTTTAAGTAAGTTCTACAATCTTAATATGACACAAAAACAGGCACCAAGTACAGCTGTACCATGCAATACATGCATATTATTGAATGTATACAATGGATACAAATATTTATACAGTTTACTGCCTGGTGAACGCACAATTTTATAAATATTGAAGAGCATTTTAACAAAAACAGTCTTTTAAATTGATTTAACCACCATCTCTCTCTCTCTCTCTCTAAGTGCCATATCGATCGACTTTGGCGATCATGCTGTTCCACAACCCTCGGTTCCTAGCCTTCTATATTAGTACCCCTCCCAGTTCTTTCACTCCTCTCTCTTCCAACAATTTCTGCAGACTGTCCATCCAAAGTATCCTCCTTCTTCCCCTACTCCTTCTTCCCACAATTTTCCCCGTCAAAGCAAGATTATCTAGGCCTTCTTTACGTGTAATGTGACCCATGAACTTCAACTGCCTAATCAACATCTCACGCAGGGGCGTACGCAGGGGGGGTGTTTTGGGGGTTCAAACCCCCCCTTTGGTATTTTAATGTATGTAAACCCCCCTAAAAAAACCTAAACCCCCCCCCCCCTTTGGCTTTTTTTTTTTTTTTTTTTTTATTTATTTAAAAAAAAAAAAAAAAAAAAAAAAAAAAAAAAAAATTATACCCACGTAAATAAGGTGACCTTATCCCCCCCCCATACGTAAAAAAATGTCAAATTTTGGAATTTTGAGACCAAAAAAAAAAAAAAAAGTGTCCGCTTACCCCCCCCCCCCCCACTGAGCGACTTTTCTGCCGACTGAGTCGTTGCGATTTTTTTTTGGCCTCCAAAAAAAAAAAAAAAAGTGTCCGCTTACCCCCCCCCCCCCCCCCCCCCCCCCCCCCCCCCCCACTGAGCGACTTTTCGGCCGGCGCGATTTTCAAATTTTCGGGAGCAAAATATTTTAAAACCCCCCCCTTGAAAAAATCCTACGTACGCCCCTGATCTCACGTATCATTTTCCATTGCACTCCAGCTCGTGTAAGAACTTCCTCATTATTACTAACTCTGTCAGTCCAGGGGATTTTCACCATTCTTCTTAAGAACCACATTTCGCAACTTTCCAAACGCTTTTTAGTATCAGAGGCTAAAGTCCACGTTTCACTACCATACATAAGTACTGTATATATGTAACAATTATTCAATACTCTTATTCTGGTCCTCATACTCATTGTTCGATTTGTCAGAATTTTGCCTAGCTTTGAAAATACAGAAGTAGCGAGAGCTATCCTTCTCTTGATCTCTGTCTCACATCTGGCATCCTCGGTGATCATGCTGCCCCGGCCCCCCCACTCAGGGGTCGGAATGACCGCATGCGTGTTGCCAAAATGTCCGGTAAAGGGGTACTTTTCGTGCGACAAAGTCCGGCCCGAGAATTGTAAAAAAAGGGGTGTATTTGATTTTCACCCGGAGATTTCTTCAAAAAAGGGGTGTTTTTTTTTTTTTTTTCTTATCTCTTTGGACTCCTGAGAAATTATTCCGAATTTAGGGGGGTACATTGAGCATTTTTCCTGATTTAGGGGGGTCTCAAAAGCAGGAAAAGGCCGCGAAAAGCCCGCGAAAGGGGGGTTCGAAAATGTTGGCAGTCCTCAGATAGGGGGTGCTTTAAAAAATAGGGAACGAGCATATGCGTACCCTAAATAACACTGAGTGGGGGGGCCGGGCATGCTGCCGAGGTAGTTAAATGAGGAGACTTGTTTAAAAATCTGTTCTTTCAGTTTCAAGTTACATTTTGGACTGCTCTTCTTAGAGACCACCAGGCACTTTGTCTTGGTATAGTTGATCTCTAGTCCCATTCTCTCACTTTCTTTTACAACTACATTCAGGAGTCTCTGGAGATCTTTCTCTGATTCAGAAAATAAAACAATGTCATCAGCATATCTAATATTTGTGATTGAATGGCCACCCACTTGTATCCCATTTTCATCTACCACCATCAGCATATCTATTAGGGCAGAAGAGAGAGTAAAATCCAACTTACCCTAGGTTTTTCTTCGTATGCCATATCGGTACCAGGCAGTCCTAATTGTAACTCCTCTAGATTAAGCTTGCACCCTACTCTAAAAGTACACGTACCATTATAAATATGAATGTCTTCTTTTCGTAGTGCCATCTTCTTTCACTTGCTCTTCCGGCTACCTTTACATGTAAACCCAATGTTTCTTTATCATCCAGGCCAGTATCTTTTATTCAAACTTCACAACTTCTTTCGAGGTATCTTCAGTTGGTAGAATGTTAAATGTTAAGCACTGTCAGGCATGTTCTCCTGTTCACGACTGAGGGATCGATGAGCTGGGGCATAGAACTGATTGCGTATCACCAAACTGAAAATACGTAGAAGGCTCGAGTACGGATTCGAAAATAATTAAACACTGTAGCTGGACCAATAATGGTGCTCGTACATGATCACGTGATATCTGTCATCTCGGTTAGTCCTCTGAGTTGTCCGCCACTCCGCTGCCGCTTTACCAAGCACGATGTTGTTTAGGTATAATATCAAAATATTAACACCCGAAAGAGATAAAGCTGAGGCTAATGATTTTTATTTTAATTCATTTGATTTGATGTGGTTTTAATTTATTTCCGTATAAAAATGAAGTACAATAATCGAAAAACTACACAATATGTACACATACTAGTAGAGATAAACGGCTGGATGGCCCTACTCAGTATCCACACAAATGGTGGCGCTGTTCCACCGAAGGGTCTATAATCTGATACATTAATATATCGAAATATGATATCGAAAGTCACTATACACAACATTGATAATTACAAAAAGAGGCTTAGGGTAGGTGTAGGGAATTGGAGACCGTAGGGAATTGGATACCACTAAGCTTGAACCCATCACTGTCTGTCCGTGTTGGCTCCAATATTGCTATAAGGTCATATGTGGCCTTTAACAACACTACTGCATATCCAATTCATTTCGAAGACTACAATGCGTTCTTTCTCCGAGAAAATTGGCAAAAGTGACCAGATATGCAATTTTGATCGTAAAATTTTGCTCTAATATGAAAATACAATTTTCACTGAATGTTGTGGTGTATGCAGATATTTAGAGGTGGCTCTTAAAAAGTAGTTTTAAAAGGAAGTTTATGAAGTGTACCAACCATCACAGAAAACTTGTGCTGTGAATGGGTGTTGCAATGCACATTATGAATGGTGTCTGATCAGAAATGTGTGTACGCAATGGGGGACACCAGGTGCAAGATGGGGACCTACTTTCCCCCAGTTGTTCATTTTACGTTGAAAGGTACTATCATGAAACATATTTGTTTTTTCGTGTCACCATTTTAATTTGAATGCATTTCATTTTAAGAAGTTGTTTCTATACTGCGAGTTTGACCAATATAAAAGTCACATTGCCAGAACATTATTTTGAAGTATTCAAACATAATTTAAAGCACCTTTATTACTGTAAACAAAACACTACAGAAATGTTGGGGCCACATTGTTCTCAGAAATCGTTTCAAAATTACAGTACGTTCATTGGCTGCATGTATCCAATCCCCAAAAAAACTAGAAATTTAATTCGTCATGGGGACGAATTAGGTGGTCTGTCTTCAAGTCTTATGATAGATTATAATATTTACTATATTGAGAAAGGGAGAAGTTATATAGACATGTAAACAATGATGATCATCATGATGATCATGATAATGATGATCTTGATAGTAATGGGGATGACGATGATGATGATGATGATGATGATGATGTTGATGATTATCATCAACAGACCACGATGACATCAGACTGAAAAAAATGAGAGAACATTTAGATAGTATATAGTCTCAGCTACAACATACTCCAAAATCAACAAAAATCAAGCCGAAATAACGGCGATATTGCTCGCAAAAGACAAGAATGTAGAATCCAGATTTGAGAAAAAGTCATCTCCCATAAGGATTACACGCCAAAAGTAATGGATCAAGTGATAATAGGGTAATATTAAAGTAAATATGGTTGTTTATTACATTATTTGCGATTGTACGTGTTTTAATATTCAAAGGAGATGGTACAGTGAAAGGTCAAAAAGAAAAAAAAGTGAAGAAAAAAAATTGTTGGAAACGCCCGGACTCGAACCAGGGACCTCGAGGTCGGAAGTCAAGTGCGTTACCGATATACCAAAACATTTCCAATAGAGATTACACGTAAACTGAAAACTGAATTCTCAAATCCCACTTTGTAAGTGAAATATGAGCATGATCCCGGCATCTGATCGAAAAATAAAGGGCACACTTGTGATAGCTTATTGTCTCAGCTACAACATACTCAAAGCTCAGCGTAAACAAAGATACAACGACGGAGATATTGCTCGCAAAAGACGAGAATGTAGAATCCAGTTTTGAGAAAAAGTCATGTCCCATAGAGAATACACGCAAAATGTAAAAAATTGACATGCCTCTTTTAATCGCAAAAATACGCCATGATACCATTGTCAAAATGAAAATTCGTGGTGACTGTATTTGTAGAGAATATTCTCAGGTAGAACATATCAAAATTTGAAACAAAATTGATCAATATTTACAGAGATACAATCAATTTTCCAAAAATCTGCTGACGTCATAATATGCAAATTGAAATTTCGAGTTCGGAGGCCATTATGATGACGTCATGAGTTAATTGAGGGTCAAATGAGACATGAAATCATACCTCCAACTCATAATCTATTTAAATATGAAAGAAATTGGGGGTTATCTATCAATTCTGAAGAGTTAAAATGAATTTTGTATAGGCATGTTTTTGCCCATGTATTGTGGATACAGATAGCGCAGGTCGGCGCGTGCGTTCAACTTTGACAGCCGCTAATTGCGGTATTACTGGTCGGAAACAGGTAAACAAAGTATCAAAATGCTTGGAAAAATGTAATAAATATGATAACAGAAAAAATTTGGCGATTCTATGTTGCAAAATGCCAGGACGCGCGGATACGCGCGGAAACGCGCGCGCATAATTACGCGCGCGCAAATTTTGAAAATGCTTAAAATGGCCTGAAACGTATGCAAAATTAATTTGGAACGAATTTGACCATTTTTAAATTTTAATGCGCGCGTACGTGCGCGTCGAGGTGCGCGCTCAGAATTTTTTGACATTTTTCGTTGACCTTTGACCTGAAGTTGATGTATACCAAATATGGTTGATTTTTGATGACTCGTTATCGAGATATGATAATGACCTGATTTTTACAAAATGGCGCCTGGATGACGTCACGATGATCCCATGAACTTGAAAAAGTTAATTAGACTTGAAATCATAGGGCTTGATGACTGACAGAAATTCAAAGGAAATTGACCATGTCGATTTCGAGTAAACGTGTGCACAAAAAAGTGTACGGAAGAAATAAAAAGAAAGAAAGAAAGAAAGAAAGAATTAAGAAAATTCTAGCGAAATCAATAGGTGATCTGTCGTTGACAGACCACCTAATAATTTAAATTTGATATAGCGCCTTTTCCTTGCAGTTACAAAGCGCTGCACACACGCTCCACAATGTTTGGGCCACTTAAAAACAAAAGTTAGACACTCCTCAAAGATCATTAAAGTATATGTAGGCTGGTAATAAAGTAATTTCTAGCAGAATAGATGTGACTTTAGTAGTTTCTTGAACTGGTCAACAGATGAGGCCGTCTGCACAGCAGTAGGTTAGTTGGTTTTACAGTTTTGCAGCAACCGATGGAAAAGACAATTCACCAGCACGTATCTTAGAGAGACACTGAGTGAGCCAGATGGATGATGATGAGCGGGTATTTCGGACTCGAGGACGACGAACCAAGCAGTCAGCTATATGTACGGGGGACATCGGTGGTTGAGAGACTTGTAGAGTGTAGACCAGTAGTACTAGTAGGATCTTAACTCTTATCCTGCCACAGGGCTAATCCCCCCCAGTGCCAGATTTATAACGAGATAATCGGATTAACGCGATGGTACTAACCATAGCGCGTGCAAAACACTAGGCACAGTCCAATGGGCATGAACAATAACTGCTATTACGAATGCGTGCTAGCATGCAAGAAGCAGAGTAACAGTAGCGTGCACGCAGCCTTATGGCAGGCTATAAGTTAAAAGCTATTCTCTGTCGTACAGGCAGCCAATGGAGTTCAAGTCGAAGAGGTGGTATGTGAGTCCGAAGAGGAGCAGAGAAGACAAGCCTTGCCGCTGAGTTTTGGAGTCTCTGAAGGCGATGAAGGTCCCTCTGGCTGAGAACAATGAAGAGACTGTTGCAGTAGTCTAGTCTGGAAAGGACAAGAGCCCTTGCTGCAGCGTAGCATGTCGACTCATCAATAACCTCCACATCTCTTTAAAAAAATGTATCTCTTTCAAAAAGTGTTTGAACTAACTATAACAATCCCATTTGATTCAAATTGTATTTGACATATCTTGATTTGTAACTGTCCCTTATTACATACAGTCATGTAGGTAATGAGAGACCTTTGGTGATGACGTCATTAATCCTTGTTATCTTATTAATCAGATACATCATGACCACAATTTTATTACCAAATAAAGAGAAGAAGTTACTATAGAGAATACAAAATTTTCTGTATGTGTAACATTTTTCATGTTTATGTAAATTATGCAAATGTGCTTAAGGGTCTCCGATTCCCCACACCTACCCTATATACATACAGCTCCGTTTAGTCTCATTTGACAGCGCCCCCTATCGTCAGAGTCAGCAGCCTAACATGTTAGCCTATGGAATTTTACCCCCCCCCCCCAAAAAAAAAAAAAACATTTTTTGTTTAAACGAAAAGCACATCCACCCCGACATACGTTGACACTAGCTCTTTCATTGGAACCCTCATGTCTCATTGACTTTTGAAAGTTCACCATTGCCTATAATACACATGTGAAACAAGCCGAACTTTGGGCTCAGTTTGCCAAGCGATTGTAAGGTTTTAGGTCGAGCACACGAAGGATAAGAAGCATGAATTATAATAGATCAGTTCTGATCGGTTCATTATGTCCATTTCAGCCAACCCCCCCCCCCCCCCCCCATTGAAGATAAGCAAACATTTTGCCGAGGTAAGCAAAAACATGAATATTCATGATCGCCATGAACTACTTTAAGTCAAGTATTTCATTGTATTATGTAGTTTGATAGGTTTATTTTAATAACTTTTTAATTATCAGATATCAATGATATAGTTTAAAGATATGGAAAATGTTCGTGTATTTTAGCAAAGCAATCTCACATACAAATTCACTACCAAGTGTCGTGTAATCCGCTGATTGTCGTCTGCTATATACGTTCACCGAGCGAAAATGAGACAACCGGAGCAATATGACAATTCAATTTAAAGTTCAAAAAGAAACACCTCAAGTACACCGTAAAGAAGTATTACAAGCAACATCCACTATAAACAGGCGCGGATCCAGGATTTCTTAGGGGGGGGGGGCCCAAATTTTAAATTATGCGAGCCAAATATTGGTACGTAATAGTGACCAACAGTGACGTAATGCGGGGGGGGGGGGGTCGGTGCAGGGAGGGGCGATTTCCCCCCTCCCTCCTCCGCGAA